AAAAATTGCCTGACAACTCCCTAAAGCGTTCTCTATTTATTTTCTGTTTCAATATAGAATCGAGTGTACCGTTCTATTTTATTGGAGTGGACATGAATTACATACCTTCTACATCACAATATATCTTATCAAAACGCTATCTATTACTCGCACACATTGAAAGAGGGATAATGAAAAATTATATTTTGGTTGCACGTAACATGACATCACATCATCCACACATAAAGAGGACAGGTAGTTAGACTTCTATGTTATCAAAAATCATCCTTGAAACAATTTTCTGTGTAAACGGAACATTCTATTGTCGTCTAATCCAACAATGGCCGTTATTCGTTATGCCTACTTGTCTAATATAAAAATCCATCGCAATCCCTTGCAATTTGACATTTGAAATATATTCACGAACTTCACACTGCAACTTTTTGACATATGATTGTGATTGCGACATTTTGATAGAAATTGAATGAACGATGTCGTTAATTTGAACTATCTAAGAAAAGCGATAAATGCTAGAAAGCTATTGAGAAATTTCAAACGAGAGAGTTCAATGCAAATTAAAATTTTTTCAAAATCAAAATCATTTATTCAGTCTAGGTTTTTACAAGCAGGTAATGGTAAATTTAAAATTTCCATAGGAATTTTGTTATAGTAGTGTACACCTTGACCCATAAATGACGATAGAACCTTCTTTAGCCTGCATGACGGCAAAACAAGTTTATCTTTGTTTCTAGTATTAAAATTGTGTACATGACTATGTTTAATATAATTGTTAATATTGTTTCTAACATAAAGTATACAATTGTATATGAATTGGGAGGCCACTGTTAATATCCCAAAATTTGACGGGTGTAACCAAGTTTTTATCGTTTCTTGATCATCCAAAACATCATTCGTTACAAAAGTGATTGCGACATTGAAACGTTACATAATTCTGTAAATCTCTCTCACAATCGCTAAACCTTTAAAAGGGATTGTGACAGATTTTGAAATTAAACAATTAGCGTACATATATCACTTGAATTTCACTAGGTAAAATTTAAACACAGTTTACATAAGTATTTGTGTAAACTATGTTTGTTTACCCGTAAGCTATACTAATAGGTTGGGGAAAAGGTCACTTCGCATTTTATATGAAAATCCAAAACATATTTTTAAAGTTTTTTTAGATTTAACTAAAGTATGTAGGTACTATTTTCTTCGATAACTTTTTGCCTCTTGTAGGTACATGCTATAGAAGTTTTGGGGCTTTGGCAATCTTCGCATTATGTAACTTAACACTGCCTAAAGAATTCTGAAGAGATTGAAACAGGTGGAAATCTGAAGGTGCAAGGTCTGGACTATACGCCGGATGCATTAACAGCTTCTAGCCAAACTCTTTATTTTTTCTGTGTGGCAAAAGATATGTGAGGTCTAGCATTATCATGATGAAAAACCACACCCCTTCTATTGATAAATTGTAGCGGCTTTCTCTCAACTTCTTGCTTTAATCTCATCAGTTGTTCGCAGTAGAATCGATGTTCCTGCCTCGCGATACAATGAATAATGCCTTTCCAATCCCACCATATAAAGAGATCATCTTGTTTTGAGTTAACCCGGGTTTCGCCACAGTCTGTGAAGCCTGACCGACATTTGACCACGACCTTTCTCGCACGTTCTTGTCACGCGTGATCCACCTTTCATCACCAGTTATCAGCTCCAAAAATATTAATAATAATAAAGAATCACAAATGAGTACACGATTCATTAGGTTTCTTTCAGTGAGCCTCGTGAGTTACCCAAATACCCGACTTTTTTGTGTACCTATTTAAAGATTGTATTACAAGTTTATGCATACTATATGCGGAAAGACTTTTTCCCCAACCTAATATCTAAGTTATCTTAAAATAGATGTAACCTCAAATTGCCATTTCCTACTTTTAAACTGTATACTCTTCAATTCATTCGAACACGTGTTGATACGTTAACTAGGCCGAATTAGCAACAGTAAATCGAAATCAGCAAAACCGCCTATTCAACGATGCATCAACGCATCAAAGTCGCGTAAGAAGGGTTCCTTACCATCTATACTAATATTATAAATAAGAAAATTTACTACTTCTTTCACCTACAAGAAGCTACATAATAGGTATACTGGTAACATAGCCTATAATTAAATCGGCCATGTCGCTTTTACCCTTTTACCTTTTACCCTTTGGGTACGAAACCTTAAAAAATTGATAATTAAATTTTAATATATTAATGGTGCAAAATTTTATTATGAAATTACAGATTTTTAAAATGATACTTTTAATTATTAATTTAACGATAAAGATGTAAAATAGGAGGTAAAGTTGGTCGGTCAATATTAGCCGTAAGCCAGGAAGCTTGCAAGGAGAAGCTATGAAACTGCCGATGTTCTACTGAATACGAGAAGCATCCTATTCAAGGTGAATAGGACATCCTATTCATCCCCGTAATGGGCCGGGATATGTGCACAGCCTAGATAACTCTTCATATATTTAGATCGTTATAAATAGATAAATTTGCAAATGCAATGAATATTCTAGTAATATGATTAAAGTAGGTTTCATAATGTCTGTAATATTACCCGTTCTAGTTGGTTAGTGTGTATTGGAAATTAATTATACGTAAATGGTTAATTGGGTAAGACTCCGTCGATTTTGGTAATGAACTTTGTATGTCATTATTAGGTAGCTGTATGCTTTTGGGTGAATCTGTTTTATCTGTTCATTCGTATTACTAACATAAAAATCTGTTCTAAACCTCCTTGAATGCGTATTCGGAAGTTAAAAGCTATTAATATCAGTCATATAAGAATATATATTTACACTTAATTCTATTTTTAAACTAATAATAAATAGTAATACTATAAAACCTATTCTGATCTGATTATTCAGAATAATCATCGCGGTTATATTTTTCTCCAGCCAATTCATAATTTTGTTTCCTCATAAGTAATCTTTGTTATGTTGATATGTACGCACATTAGTGAAGTACTAGTTAAAATATCCCTAGACGTTGTTTATGTGTGTATATGTTCAATACTATTAAATTTACTACAGCGTTATTGAAATACCATGTGTAATAAAATTCCATTTAGTTTACCTTCTTCAAAGCGGGTCATTCTTAATCAAAAGAAAGTCAATGCGCTTTCCTTAATCACAGTCGTAAAAATTGAATCTTCCTTATTCTTTGATTTATCGATGCTAAAACTTAACCGTCCCCAAGGGATACGTTCAAGGGAAAAGGTAAGTCCGCTAAGGCTTACTTGTTTGAGATTCTATACATCTCTGTTAACCATAATACTCTAAAGAAGGGATGTATCCTTTAAGCTTGGAACTTCTCAGTGCAGTTTATTATAGTAACTAAGTTTTCATTTCATGATTTGTCTTACTTTTTTTTGTATAGTATAATATATCAACTAAAAAACTCATTTTGTATCTTTCGACTTGTTAACAATTTACATGTATAACAAATTATTAAATAAACCACAATAAAATTATAATAGCGCTATAAGTTATGAGAAGTAAAATAAAAATGAAGAATAAAAACCTATATTTTATGTATTTATATATAATAAGTACTGTCCCAAAGATTATACAAGAAACGTAGTGGCAAATGTTATGTTTATTAACTAACTCGTAATTTCTAGCTAGGTTAATTAATATTCACTCTGGAGCTGTGATGTCTCTGATATTTATCGATTTTGCGTTTTTTCTTCCTTGAAAGATAACTTCCATGAAATTCCTATGTAAAATGTTAACAAAACGTTTGCGCAACTGATTAATGATTGGTATCGCTACGAGTTCGGAATGACCGAAACCGCCATTCCGATTCGAAGATAAATTCGGTCAACGAGCAACACGCCTCTTTAATGTTGCTGACTCTGGTCTGTACCGAATGACGTGTCTCCTAATTGATTGTGTTTTTATGGTTTCGCCCTCCTGACTCACACCAATGGTTACAAAACTGACGGCAACCAGATTTTCTTTTATGCAAATCACGATATTCTGTTATTGTTATTAGATGAATGAGTTAGATAAACAAATCAACTTTCTTTCTTCTATTTCGTACCCCTTTTTTTTATTTTTGAAATAAATACGTTAATCCCATCTAAATATTTTATTTTAAATACCTATTTAAATAAGCAGCGTGGTCGTTTCAAAATTAAAATTATATTCACCACATTTCGTTTCTAGAATAAAAGCGATATTCATATAATTTATTTTCATTTCTTTACGTTCTACGTTGAGTGGTTTTTATTTCCAATCGATAAGACATCGTGAGGAATATAATGAAAGGAACAAGGCAAAGTAATTCGTTATGCATTTGTTGGACAGTAGAACATAGAAACACTTGAGAAGCAACTTTAAAAAATCTTAAGTAGGAACTTCATTAATTTATCTAATGATCACAATTAAACTTTCTATGACCTCCATTATTATACAGTAAAATATTATTTTCCAGGTGACAAATTGTACAATCTGATTAATTAATTAGTTGATTCAAAAGCTATTTATTTGATGATCGATTAAACCATAGCCAATTAAAATATATTGACCAATGAGTACTAAGATGATCACAGTTTTGGTTGGTTGGGTAACAATTCAATTAGGTACAATTCGCAATTTTTTACACTGCGATATCATTGACCATATAATTTCTAATTTAAACACTTTAAACTGTGACGGAGGAACAAAAATACTACAATTCTGAACTTTAATGTGCAGAACTTAAGATAATGGTTTTTTAAATACTTTACTAACGTGGATGTTGAATTTTCCAATCGTGACAACGAAAAGTTTAAAGGTAACATAAGAATAGCACTCAGTATAATTGTGCTCCACAAAGATAGTTCCAAAACTTTAACAAAACACCTTTTACACAAAACTTCGTCCTTAGTCTCCTTGTCTCTTGTTTCGTGAAGCAGGAAGATGGCTTTGTTCTGCTTGTATATTTTTTACAGTGATCATAAATATGTATCATTTTTTTTTGTGCAGGGCAAATGCAACCACCGCGCTTCAGTATGCAGCCTTCTTCGTCAAATAGCATAGTAAGAGAAGGCACCACAAAAATTTTACAATGTTCAGCACTAGGTAAGTAGATAAAAAATTTGCCTTAATTGAATTCTAATCTGAAATGTATACGTATTATAATTGCTTATGCATGCTTTTAGGTATACCACAGCCTATGTACAGATGGTTGAAAAACGGCGTTCCACTTGGGGATTACTCCTCAGAACTGTTTTATAAAATCCACAATACCAAGAAGCAGGACGCCGGTGCCTACCAATGTATAGCTAAAAATGACGTTGGGGCAATTTTCAGTGAAAAGAATAACATTGTTGTCGCTTGTAAGTAAAGTGCTCTTTTGAACGACTCACTGTATATTATATACTATGTTTGGCCTCGACATAAAATGCAACTAGGGTAACTTCTGCAACTTTATTATTAGATCATAATGGAGTAGTTTCAAATTTCTTTAATATATTTATACATAACCTTGAAGGTACTATAGTAACAACAAAAAAACGAATACGCATTATTGTCACAAAGACGATTGTTTGCATCATATAATATACAATAATACTACATAAAAGAATCATTAATATTCACTTTGTGTGCCTTATGTGTGAAATATAGATGTAAGAATAAATATTTAAAAAGTTGCAAATGGCTCGTTTCAAATATTGTACATGAGATGATGTAATCCCATTCAGTGGTCATCTTTTTGTTGATTGTCATGGTTTTGGTTTTTGTAGAAGCTTGAAGGCCTTGTAATAAAAACCTTAACGAGTTCATTATCACAGCCTTTCCTTACTTTTTATGACATCTTAAGAAACGTTTATCGATTAAATTCACTCTTTTCAATGAGATGATTCCTTTATACTAGAAATTATTTTATTATTTTAGATATGGGTATATTTGATAAGATCGTTGAAGATACAATAACTGCGGAATCTGGACATGCTGCTGTTTTAGAGTTTCCACACATAGAATCCGAACCACCACCGTCAGTCATATGGCAAGATGAAAATGGCGCATTGAGATACGATCAAAAATATGCAGTCACCGATGAACACCAATTAGTTATTCTTTCCGCGTCACATGACGATGAAAGAGCGTACAGGTAAGGACAAACCAATCTAAAGTTAGCCATTATCCATAGCTACTTTAAGTGCTAATGCATAACACCAACCAAAACATTCTAATATTTTTAGAGTTCGAGCCATAAACACTCAACTTGGTAAGGAGGAGAATAGCCCCTACATTCGACTTGGGGTTTATGGAGATGATACCAAAGAAGTTCCACCAGAAATTATTATAAAACCAAGGGACAGAAAAATAATAAAAGGTCAAGATTATACGAATTTATTCTGTATCGCTAATGCTCGCCCTCTACATGAGCTGGAAACTTTGTGGTTCAAAGATGGAATCATGATCGATTTGGCTGGTATCACGTTCGACTTAAATGACCAGTGGAATAGAACTCTCAGTCTCATTTCAGCAAATTTGACGCACACAGGAAAATATACTTGTCAAGCAAGGCTAAGAACAGGGGGATTCGCAACTGTCACTGCATCAGCAATGGTAACAGTATATGAAAAACCTGTGTTCTTAAGCAATTTAAAAGCAGAAACGTTTGGTGAATTTGGCAGCAATACTGTCCTTGAATGTAACGTGCAAGGCATACCTTTACCTAGTATCACATGGTACAAAGATGCTAGAAAAATCGCTAGCGTCGGCGCTGAAGCTGCAAATAACGACAACGATGTTTACGATGGTGAAGGCCGATATAGGGTGGAAGTCGATAGATCTTTAGTTATTAATAATCTCCGTATGGAGGATATGGGAATATACCAGTGTATAGCTAATAACGATGCCGGAGAATCATCAATCTACACGTGGCTCAAAATCAAAAGTAAGTGATGAAATTCTTTATTTATTTTAAGACATGTGTGTTGAGAGTGCTTGAAGAGTGATATTCTCTTAGACGTGTAGACACTATATGATTTCTTATGAAATGTATTTAAAAATCATTTGTCAAATTAGAAATTTGTATGTAAATAATATATTAATATTGATTTACAACTGTCTTATAGAAAAGGACAATATACGTGTACCACGCAGTCACATGAAGTTAATTAGAATGAGGACAACTGATAAAAAATCAAAAACGTTTAAATTCGATACCGGCAGTAAGAAATATTGTCATTTTGCACAGTTCTTACATCGTTATGTTTTATAGCACTGAGATTGCCAAGATTGCTTTCCAGACACTTTTTTGGTTAAGGTGCTTTTATTATCATTTAATTTGAAGTGTGTGATTGAGTGTTTATTAATAAAGAAAAGATTCTGTATTTCAGCTATTAACATTTTTGATTTTATACTTTACATACACGTTATTTCTGTAGTTTGATATTGTTGTTTTTTTTATGAAGCGGCATGGTAATAGTTACATTTTATTATTTTATCGTTAGTTTTATCAGATTCTACTCATAGAATAGTTGCCAGGTATTATTTAATATGAAATTGCTTTGTAATTTGATATATCTCCGACTGTTAACTCGCATTATGTTTGGATATCACAGTAATAAAACTAAAGTCATTTGAACACGGTTTATAAAGTAGAATACATTACTTCGATCTCTAACTATAATAATTGTGGTGTTATGGCCTTGTTCTATCAAATCGTTATAATACTATAAAGTTTAAATCGAATTACTCTAGATCCACGGGACGCTCTCTCGTCTCGTGAAAAATTCAACGTTTTGTTGCCGAATTATAGTGAGTTTATAAGACACCTGCGGAGTTACTAAGTGTTAGAGCGCGGTCAATTGCTATTACGAGCTTAACTGATGTGATGTTATTTCCGGTTAAAAGTGTCTTACAAAATTGTATACTCTGGCTGTGACTTAAGTATATCATATCATATCATGTGCATACGCATCATGTGCATTTATAGTTACTAGCTGTTTCCCGCGACTTCATCCGCGTAAATGATGTAGCGTAAAAAATATGACTAATACTGATTCAGATCACAAAAAGTGTATACATGTTAAACCTGACGTAATACCAATAAATAAAAAGGCAAAACCACTCATATTAGAATTAATGATCGCAATAATGCCGTACATTTTGTTGTCGTCCAGTTACCGTATCTTCACATTAATTTTATGTTACCGACCATTAAAGTTTTAAATATGTATGTAAATACGTAGCGTTAAGTAGCGTATATTGATTTTTCACTTGCATGTTTTGATATTTTATTGCCCGAGTTCCACTGTTTATTGGTCACATTTTTTGTGTGTTACTAATATTGTACAACTTACCAAGCGTAAAATTATGTTTTTTTTTCTCGAGGAATTAATTTAATTGGCCTTTATGATTGTATGGTATTATTCTATCTACATGTTTCTTATATCTGCGCAAACAATATTTTGTCCAAACTGAACATAATATGATTCAAATTGGGTTGCCAACCGTGCTGTAAAATAGAGTATTGTACCACAGAATAATACAGTAGTAATAATAATAATATAGTACTCTTTGTATTATTTTTTACACAATGTTTGTTATACCAGTGCCGGCGTGCATTATAATACATAGTTTATTAGCACTATGAATTATTTTTTATAACTTTTTGTTTTTTATTTCTTATGACTATGCGCCCCCTATTGATGGAGTGGTAAAACCCGCCTCTAACATCGATAAATGTTTGGTAGTGTTACGCTTGGTTTGTTGTATGTAGTGGCTAGTGTAGTACTATATACGTGTGGCTTGTAGCGTCTCCGCCGGTAATGACGACTGCACCCGCCAACCTGACCGTACTGGACGGCAAGGATGCCGCCATCGCGTGCCGTGCAGTGGGCGCGCCAACACCGAACGTCACCTGGTACTTCAACGGTTAGTAAACAACACAAGATACAAAAAAAAAATGTTAAAACTATTTTCTGCCTATGCTTTAGTGTCGATAATAGAACATACTACGAAAATAAAATGAATGAATGAATATTAATTATTGCACTATAAAACATAATAGTTTTGGACAAACTGTAGGTATATTAGCAATAAACATAGATCTCTGCGTACAATGATATTTAAGATATATTATGCCATATAGTCATTAGACCGAGGGTGGCGACTGGTAATCGGCGTGGATGGCAAAATATGTAAAAATATGGTCTTAGACACCGTAGGCACAAAGTAGACAAGCAGTATTTTTGCCATATGTGCCTATAATATGCTTAATAAATACTCAATAAATATTGATTTCTCTTTTTTACAGAAAGTGTCCCAATACCTACTTTATCTTAAAAAGTCAACTGTTATTAATCACGTTTACACTATAAACAATCAAGACCTCCAAAAAGTGAGTGAGATTAGAGACTTGGGTATCATACACGATTCCAAGCTTATATTTGATTCTCATATTCACTCTATTATTCTTAAAGCCGCTAAGTTATTTGGGTTTATAATGCGAAATTCGGCTTGCTTTTCTCGAATTAAAACTTTTAAAATATTATACTGTGCTTATGTTCGTAGCCAACTGGAATATGCGTCTCAAATTTGGAATCCTAGATATGCCACTTATATTGACAGAATTGAAGGCATTCAGAGGAAATTTATAAAGTTTCTGTGTTATAAGATGAATAGACCATATGATTCATCTGAATACCTCCAAGTATGTAAAGAGCAACATTTACTGCCACTAGTGCTCCGTAGAACAGTAGCCGACATTATATATCTGCTTAAAATTATAAATTGTCAAGTTGATTGTCCTGAATTGTTGCGTATCATTAAATTTTCAGTCCCGACAAGATCACAGAGATATTACCGACCTATAGCGATCCCCTCGTCATCTACAAATTATAGGCAAAATAGCTTTATTGTTAGGGCCAGCGTAAGCTTAAATATGATGCTTGATGAGTGTGGGTATGATGTAGACATCTTCGATTGCAAAATTAATTCATTTAAGCGGAAATTAATAGAATACTTTCTGTCTCGTTAACTTATGGCGCAGGTATGATTACTTATTTGATTGTGTAGCTTGTGTGCGAATTCACTGATTAGATCTAAGCTATTTCTATATGTGGAAACCTATAATTGGCTTTATGTTTTTTATGCTGAAATCTATCATGTTTGTTTAGCTGTTGGTTTTCCAAGAATAATAAATAAATAAATAAATACCTACGTTAACTTAAAAATAATATCCCTCTGTCGGTTTACTGATATAATTGTATACTCTTTATAGTTCACACGGCTGCACGTCAGATTCAAATGGAGAATCTTAAAAAAAATGACAGATTTGTATAACCTGAGGTCCTGTTGTCTATACAAAACAAATTATAATAATTTTAAATTGAAAGACCTTTCAATAGGCATTGGAAAATATTCAGTAGTCTATCTATACCAAGCTATACTAATAAATAATTATTTGTTAAGTCGCGTTATTTTTGAACAAACACTCCAGTACCAATTCTTATTAAAGTTACCGTCGGTTTAACTTCATATTAAATTCATTAACCACCCGCCACTGCTAGTAGGGTTATCAATTATACTAAAGTAAATATGATGTAGGTGTACTCTATAATCTACTACATTTTTGAGAACTTAAAAATACCCTTTTTACGCATTATATTTAGGATACTAATGCCAGTCACGTATATATGATGCATACCTATCATTGTAATAAAAAAATACTGTTTTTCGATTAAAAGTTGCCAGCCCTAACTGCTACGTAGAAAAAACGTAGCAAATGCTTACTAAACATTTTTGCTATTGCGTATAAAATTTATGATATGACAAGTTACAAGAGAATGCGTGTTTCTAAGCAGTTAAATAATAGAAAAGAAGTCTTGATAATGTTAAAACTGTATCATGCAGTTATGTTAATAAACAATCCGAAATTTCATTAATTTTGCAGTTATAATGCTATACTGCTAAATATGTTAAATGAAAAATACTTTAAAAAAACTCCCAGCTCCAGGTACCCTGAGATGGGACTCGAACCTACAATCTTTCGCAACCTCTAACGATTGAGCTACCCGAGACACAACAGGACTAACGATTTTTTTTTTTTCAATATTGAAAGTTTGAAATATTTGTAAAAATATTTCTTTCGACTGTTTGAGTGGTTTGCCTGAACGTTGGTGAAAATACTCTCGCTAGTAACGAAAAGTAACAAGTGCTTGAAAATTTCGTCGCTCCTGTTGGGTGTCAGGAAGCTCAATGGTTAGAGTAGTTGCCGGATTGCGAAAGATCTAGAATCGTTTGAGTCCCATGTCAAGGTTCTTGGAGCTGGTACAATCCTATTTAAGCATGTTTCATTAAAGAACGTCTATAAAGCTAAAAGTATGCTGGCAGATATAAACATCTCAATCGATTTAAATAAATTTGTATTTAATACACTCACGCACGTGTCCATAAATGCCTACATGGCAGATTTAGTAATAAATTTTCGGGGATTTTCAGTATCTACAGTAATACATTTCAATTACACTATCATATTAGCTCATTTCACAAGCTATCAATTACTAGCGCTTAGCATATAAGTATATATTTACTCGCGTGGCTTGCCCTTCTTAGTACACATGTTTGAGTAGTCAACATACATACACATTAAAATGAAGGCTAGTTTTAGAGTAATACATATGAGATTATACGATGTTATATATATCGATACGATCTATAAAATCAAATCATATCAAAGGGATTCTGTAAGAATATCTTTCTACAATTTAATCAAACAGTCCGTGCTCTACATCTAAGAGTAATGCGTTCGATTTTTTTCGTATGTCTCCTACGGAACCTTTGGGTGGAACATCATAGTTTTATTTGAATTGTCTACAGATGACGTTAATGTCCTAATTTAAAAAAAGTTTTATCGCGGGATTTTATTTTTTACTTTATTCTAAACATAAAAAAGAAACAAAACAAATCAAATATTGTTAAGTGTAACAATCAATGGTTTTATCATTATACATTATCAATATGTATTCACCTATTGATTTAGTTCGGTTAACTTTTCTGAGTACCTTTTTATAAATTACGCGAAATTACTGTAAGGCATGCTATAGACCCCGCAACCGAAAGTTTTTTCGTTTGTCGATAGAATGCGAGATATTTTATGTGAGGGATATGATAGTATGTAACATTATATTTCATGCAGAGAACACTCGCAATCGGTATAAGTGTAACTGTTGACTCATTATTTAACCCGCCTTCCAAGAGTCCCCGTACGCAGTATGTTGATCAATGAAACTGAGCTTTTAAGCGTTGGTGCATATCTAACGGAAGATGGGTCGCGTTTCTTCGGTTGCGGCACATAGAAACTGAGTAACATATGCCATTGAACCTTTATACTAGACTCATCTAAGTATGCCATACGCCGACCCCAAATACCTTGGTTCAAAAAAGTCGAAACCCTTTTTTTTAGAATTAAAACAAAACGAATCCAATATTTGACTATAAATTGTTCACATACACCGTTAAAAAGGCAATAATATCGAATTAGAACATTCTGCATTTACCTTAAAGCTCATTTTAGAGAAATTTCGGAACATTGCGTGTGAACGGCCCGCTTGCGGCTATCGGTGCTAACCGTCAAAACAGATTGCACTGAATTCGGCCTAATTCCGTGTAATATTGTGTTTACTGTATTTTCTGTTTCAGACTCTCTGATTATTAACTTATCGGGAAGATTACAAGCATTGGACGAAGGAGACTTATTGATCACTAGCACAACAATTGCCGATACTGGGAAGTACACTTGCGTGCGTGCGAATGACGCTGGAATTGTCTCCGGGGAGGCGTATCTTACTGTTCTTGGTATAAGAAAATACATTATTACTCTTACTCAACTCACTAACACGATATTAAACTAAGTTTAATGTCATTTTCTTTTTCTCTTCTTCCCGGATAGAAAAACGATAAGAGACACAAAATTATTGAATATTGTGCAAATGATAATGAGTAAATTTTATATATTTACTTGTATTGCCGTTGAGATTTTTTAATTTTATTAATATTTTTGCAGTACGAACACAGATCATCGCACCACCTGTGGACACGCGCGTCCTGCTCGGTCACACTGCCACATTGCAATGCAAAGTTTCCAATGATCCCAATGTTAACTACAATATTGACTGGTTTCATAATAAACAGTAAGTTATATAAGTAGGATACATTGACTTGTGATTTAAAATAAAATGGAAATTATACGTTTCTAATAAATTACAATACCAGAAAAATATACATCCATAGTATATCTTAATGTTAGCTACATATCTCATAATTTTTCCTTGTTTATCATTATAGACAGTCTAATCTTGATCAGGACAAAAATTTCGTAATCGATTAACTGCTCGATGACTTTTAAAATAAACAAAAAATAGACTTAAGCCGACGTAACTTTTATAGCCGCGACGTAAATAGCATGTAGCCCGTTAATTGACATCGGTCTTCCGTATTAGAGTTTGTCGTTTTTCCAGGCCGATGGTAGCCGGTTCCCGCGTATGGGTGACTGACGAGGGCGCATTGACCGTGCAAGCGGTGCGCGCTAGTGACGCGGGCGAGTACACTTGCGTAGTGACGTCACCGGGCGGCAATCACACGCGTCACGCTCTCCTATCTGTCATAGAACTACCCTTCGCGCCAACAAACGTGCGAGCCGTACGTCTAGACGGTGCCACATCTAGGGCTGTAAACGTCTCGTGGACATCAGGATTCGATGGAAACTCGCCCATACAGAAATATATTATACAGAGACGCGTCGTGCCCGAATTCGGTTAGTTGATTTCTTTATCGTCGACCCACTTGATAAGACTGATAAAGTTATAAATATTTTGGAGAGTCGAATCGCTTTGTAATATATTTTTTGTCCGTGTATTTCATAAAGGCAAAATATCCATAGGTTATCACTTAGAAGTTTCTATGATCTCAGGACCAACACCGGATCCGTTACTTAATTGGGTGACGGAACCCGTTAACGTATCTGCAAACCAACGATGGGTACTATTGACGAGTCTTAAAGCGGCGACCTCCTATCAATTTCGAGTGTCCGCTGTCAACACAGTCGGCGAGGGCCCCCCCTCCGACCCTACAGACGTCCTCACTTTGCCTCAAGAAGGTAAGCATTATATTTTCTCAAAATATATATATGTGTAATTTTAACGCTAAATAAATTCTATTGTATGTCACTTTAACACAAAACAAAACACTTAATGCTGTTTACTAACACTTGTAATCGGACAATCTAATGAATGCGGCATTATCATTAATCAATAAAATAATTATTGTATGCACTTGCATTACATTAACATCATTGGCACTTTATGATCATAATATCAATTATAAGATAAGGATGATCAAAATCTACATTAGGTATATTAGGTTCATACAAGGTATGTTTTCATCACATTAAGTTAAAATAAAATTGTTCTCTTTGTGATCAAGCAGCCGGCGATCTAATATGCTGCCAAGGTATGAACAAGCGTCATTAACGTAGATGATTTTTTTTTTACATGTGAATGTGATTATTATTTTACAAAAATCCTAAATACTTGTAATCGTTTATAATTTTCACATCGATTGTATTTAATTCGTAATTGTTTGCATGAATCGTGTAATCCTTTTTATCATTTAATTGAATGTATGTTATATTAAGGATTATTGTTTTAATGCTTGAGACATGTTTTTATGCATGCATAACGAGGAATGTGTAAGGTTGGGGTGTTAATCCCGGCTTTAGAATATTTATAATGTACACGCGTAAATGTTCAACATAAATTTCAGCTCCATCGGGTCCTCCCGTGGGATTCATGGGCTCAGCGCGCTCTTCGTCTGAAATAATCACCCAATGGCAACCGCCCCTTGAGGAACATAGAAACGGGCACATTCTGGGTTATGTCATTAGATATAGACTGAGAGGATACGACAACAGCCCATGGACTCACCAAAATATTACGAATGAGGCGCAAAGGAATTATCTCATTCAGGATTTGATCACGTGGAAGGATTACAATGTACAGATTGCGGCGTACAATGATAAGGGTGTAGGAGTGTTCTCTGACAGTTACACGATCAAAACTAAAGAGGGCGTGCCGGAGGCGGCACCGGATAATGTACGATGCGAGCCTTATAATTCCACGTCGATCACAGTGTGGTGGACCCCGCCAAATCCACAGAAAATCAATGGGATTAACCAGGTATATGAAATGAAGAGTCACGTCATTATTTAATCTAATAAAATTATTAATATTTATATATTAGTATAATATGTATTATAATATAACGTAGCAAAGGAGTGGCCTGTATTACGGAGATGAATAGTAATTCAACAAACAGATATTATAATAAATGCAAAATAACCAAAAGTAAATGCAAATGCGTACTTAGTAAATGGTTACTAAATTTAGACTATTCACATACCGAGTATCTAATATCTACATAAGACAAAGTTCTTGAACCATAAAAACTTGCACACTCTAAAATACCTATAAATATGCTACAACACACACACACACACACACACACACACACACACACACACACACACACACACACACGCACACACACACACACACACACACACACACACGCACACACACACACACACACACACACACACACACATACACACACAAGAATTAATTCTATTGGTAATGTTTATTTATTATCATGTTTATTTTATAATAGAGCGAACGAAAGAGACTGGATCCTACAACCCAGGGAATCCTAGTGTGGGAAACAGTGTTCAATTTATTTATAATTGCAAATTCCATCTTTGGTGTTTAATAAACCTTATTAAACCTTATTATAAGAAATATAATACATTTATATGTTAAAGTTTCAAAATAAGAGTATCTAATTAACTACTACTACTACATATATCTTGTGATATATTGCGTTACATCTGTTCATTTTTATATTGTTTACGTGAGATGATAAGAAACTGACGCGATTTTTCAGGTCAGCATGGAAGGATTTCTTAATTTAACTCTCTTTACATCTAAAAAGGAACATTATTGTACACACTTTAGAGTCTATTTTATTTTATAGGGCTATAAAATGCAAGCGTGGAGATGGGACGATATAGAAGGCGCTAACATTGAACAGAAACTAGTAAGCGTACCACCAAACTTATTGGATCCATTGACGGAACAAACGGCTATCATAGACGGCCTTGACAAGTTTACGGAATACAATATTTCTGTTTTGTGTTTCACCGAACCTGGTGACGGACCGCGTAGCGACTTTGTTCTAGTTAGAACTAAGGAAGATCGTGAGTATATCCCCACATTGCAGTATAGTAAGGGTTGTCAATCCAATATTACCAATGCTAGGATTTGAAATTGGATATGTCAGGATACTTTACATTTAAATCAGAATGCAGTGATAGATATAATAGCAATATTAATCTTTAAAGTTTTGAATAAAAATAAAAATAAAAAGTAGATTAAGTTGAAATAAAGTTTAGGATTAAATCGATACTTTTGTTTATAACTTAAATAACCAAAATCCCGCCGCTCAGTGCAAACCCTCGTGAGTCGCCCTTAATGTAAGAAACACAAAAGCGGCTAATGAATTTTAAAATACGTAACTATATTAGGGTGCCTTAAAAACTCGGGACGTTGCTTGAAATGAACATTCTGGGAAAACAGATTGGTGGTATGTTATTTTGAACGCCAATTGTTTTTGTTCAGTAATAACTACTACTTAGTGTCGTTTGTTTTCTTCTGAAAACTAGTAATTTATAAAAATGTGATGTAATTTTCTGTCATTTCAGTGCCAGACGAAATAATGAATTTACAATTTGACGACATATCAGACCGAGCTGTAAGAGTCTCATGGGCCCCGCCGAAGAAATCTAACGGCATACTTATCGGTTACAAACTAAGTTACGAGATCAAAGACGAACCTGATACTTTGAAAGAAGAAACACTACCGCCAAATGTTACCAGTATTAAAGTAGAACATCTTCAGGTGAGTTATTTTTATGATAACAGAAAGTAACGACGCGAGCAGGGTTGACATCTGTCCGGCTGTGGCCGGATATGTTTGACTGTTTAGGTCGTGTCTGGCTAAATTCTTATATATCCTGCCTGTACCAGCTTTTGTTCAAATGCCAAACGATTACTTAAATAAAACTGATTGATGATTGTTGTTATTTTTGGTGAATGTGTGATTACTAACAAGTATTACTTATTTTTGATTATGGTAAAAGTTATTATTATTTGCAATGAAATCCTTCGTGAGTTTTGTGATAGTGATGTCAAGCTAATAAAGATTGTTAAGTACAAAATGTCCGGTCAGATACGACACACTATTTCTTATTTTAGAAAATGGCAACCCTACATACGGGAAGATTGTTTTTGCAAGTGACGTTTTGCTTAGTGTTACAAACTTACCCAACAGATGTTAGAGCTCTTCCTTTATTTTAAAATAGTTTCTCACGCTGACAATAGCTATTGTTTCAATAACAGTTATGTGAAAACGGCAGAAAAAGTTAAGACGAAAATTGATGCTTGTTAATCAACATTAATTATTATTTTAAATGTACCTTTGATATTTTCTTTTATCACGTAAATTAGCGTACTTTATAGTTTATTTATAGGAAATCTAATCTTAAGAGGATATAAAATCGCCAGTACATAACGATATCGTTATTAATAACAGTTTAAATATAAACTGACCTAAAAATTCCAAGTGTTACGTAGATTACATCGCTTCATAACTTGATTAGAGATGAGCTGATATAATAGATGTTTGCCGACAAATCGGCTTCCAAATGGCCGATTAGTTGATCGTCCGGTCGACAAGTCCAAAAATTTTATTGAGTTTGTTGTTACTAAAATGAATTATATTAAAGTATAAATAATAACATGTTTTACTTTCGAATTTAAAGGCTACATTATATTGCTTTTCGTTTATGAAATAAAACAAAGTTTATCTTGTCTACTTCCACATGTTTGAGTTATGATTTCTAATATTGATAGTTACCGACGAAGCTAAAAGCCGGCTTTCCCGACTATACGGCTTTTGACCATTACTAGTGTGATTTTTTTAAGTAGATGAATGTTGTTTAAAATCATAAAAGAATATTTTTTGCACTTTTGTGTTGTTTTTTTACGTAAACATAATTATAAGGCAGTAATTATCGTAACACAATATATTTACTTTTTTTTTTAATCAAACTCATATATATATTACCAGTATATCATGATTTCTGTATATCATGATTCAGCTTTTGGCATACAAAATTTTATGCTGCCCTAGGACCGACACTACTGTGGCCTTAAGTTAAATCCTCCACTAATAACGGATGAAGTTGACAAAATAAGATCATTATTCCGTGAAAATGTTTACAGGCAAGCACCCATTATAAGTTCTGGCTTTGTGCTATGACTGCTGTGGGCGCAGGACCTCCTCGAGCTGCCACCATTCAGTCTGGAGTTGAGCCAGTCTTACCAGACGCGCCCAGGAACCTGGCTTTATCTAACATCGACGCATTTTCGGTACTGCTACAGTTCACGCCTGGTTTCGATGGAAATTCCTCTATTTCAACATGGACAGTTCAGGTTAAAAAAAGTTTCTTTTTTATCTACATTTGAATAAAAATTAATGACAAAGTTAAAATTATTCAATGAATATAACCATAGAAAATTTTTTCAATTTTTTCTGTGCATTCAAGTGTTAAGTTTTGTAATTTTTGTTATTCTGTATCTTACATAGTGACACCTGAAGGTTTATTGTATTTCTCCGTAACGAAATTTTGTCTGTTTTCGAAATACTAATACGACGTCAAACAAACGCACTTGTCACATGATAATTTATAATGCACTGAAGGTATGACTTAAAACGCCTCTGATGCACTGATAATCTTCACGAATATGATTTTAACTAAACATAAGAACGATTCTAATTGAAAATGTCTCGTTTGAGGACAAATAGAATAGACTCTCAGGTGCAGGCCCGGATCAAGGGGAGGCAAGCGGGGCACTTACCGTTAAAAAATATATAAATTTTATCAAAATATATATACGATGAGACGGACATGTTACAAGACGAAAATCCGTAATTAAAATAAAAGAAAAATTTCTTGTACTGCAAAAATATTGTATAAATATATATAATGGATTTTTATATAAAATATTGTATATAAAAATCCGACCTCATAGAGCATAGGAGGAGTGGGTAGATGAAGGGCGCTGTACGAGTTTCTGGCCCGGTTAATAAAAATCGTAGATCCGGGCATGCTCAGTTATCATGTTAATTTGTACGAGTTATACTTATGAGATTAAACGTTATTCAGGCCCAAACAGCGCGCAATTCATCATGGGTGACAGTATACGAAGTGAACGCACCAGACGCGCAGTCGATACTAGTAACAGGTTTGGTGCCGTTTACTACGTACCGGTTGCGTATAATAGCGACGAACGTCGTAGGCTCATCGCAACCTTCTGAACCTTGTAAAGAGTTCCAAACGATTCAAGCACCCCCTCAGCATCCACCGAGAAATGTAACTGTGCGAGCTGTCAGTGCAAACAACCTTCGAGTCAGATGGATAGTGAGTATAATTATTTAATAATGCGTTTTTATTTCCTCTAGCACTTCTGGGCATTATGCAAACTTTCACCAGAGAATAAAATTATAATTTTATAATTCTTACAAATAGTAAAGCCGCTATTATGTTGCCTACTATAAATTAATTACATTATTTTTAGACCCCTATTTGACCCTCACAGGAGATTTTTTTTTCTAAATATTTTCTTAGCGAACCTCTATGTCATAACAACTACGTGTGTATCAAATGTCAGCTCTATCCAACCTGTAGTGTAAGCTGCACGCTTATACATGATTCAGTCAGTCATCTTTGCCTTTTATACAGGGTTAACTAAATTGCCAAAAAAACTCATAAACGTTAAAACATTTAAGGTACAGCTACAACACTTACTGGGTACACAGTGCATGAGCGTAACATCGCCGTTTCGTTTATACGCGATAAAAAAATTGTTCAATGTATTGAGATATATGAATCTCGTAAATTAAAATTTATTTATGATATCATGCGAGGTTGCTGGTGTTTGACAAATAACCCTGTGTTATATTTCCATATAATCATACTGTAACATTTTCGCAAATTTCAAATTAATCAAAATTTCTAATATAATCTTAAGTCCTTACATTTTCTATTGATAATATAATTTTAAATAGTTATTTTGGACATTTGCTAATTAATTATTTATATATTTCTTCTAGCCATTACAACAAAGCGAATGGTACGGAAACCCCAAAGGCTATAATATCACGTATAAGCGGAGCGGGACTAATGATACTTTGTATAGTGTTATTGATGATCATACAGCGAACTCACATATACTTGTAAACTTAGAAGAATGGTCCGTGTATGAAATACGTATGACAGCCATCAATGAAGTCGGCACTTCAGAAGAAAGTCCAACAGCAACTGAAAGAACAAGAGAAGCTGGTAATCATATATTTTTAAGTACAATCTGATCTCGATTAGCTATCAAACCTATTTTTGAGCACCGTTGAGTCTTTATATTTAGTTTTTCATAGAAAAATATTTTAAAAACTCAAAACTTCAAGTAAAATACCATTTAAAGAATAGTGTGACATGTCATATACAGAGAATACAATTTTCGTCTTTAAATTTTAAATTACTAAATTAGCCGTCTGTATTATCAGTTATATATTAATATCTATAGCAAAAGTAAACGAAATCTAACACATATCTATAGTCGAGTAGAAGTAATCACTTGAATATAAATAATAAATAACGTAAGCAAATAATTTTTAAACAATAGATGACAATTTTATTGAAATTTCAATAACCGATTGCCTATTGCACAAACGTTCATTAGAGCTTAAATCATCATTAAACACAACAGGACGTAAGAATAATAGTATTTTAACTTTTGAAAGTTTTTCATTGAAATTCTTGTTTATTAAGTAAGTTATACCTATATTTTACTGAAGTAATTCTTTCGACTCGACTGTAGATAAGACAAGTGCTAGTTACTTTAGATAATAATTCATAGAGATTCAAGTAAAGTATTCCATATAAAATGCTATTCCATATTATGTTATTTACAAATTTTTTCCTTATAGTTCCCTCTCAAGGGCCAAATGCCGTATCAGCTAACGCTACTTCATCGACAACAGTAGTGGTACTGTGGGGTGATATTCCAGTGCAAGATCAAAACGGTTTGATAGAAGGGTACAAAGTGTGTTACGCTGCCGTCGTACCTCCCCCGAGACCAGAACATAAAAAGATAGAATGTCAAGCGATACCCTCTAACCAAACTCATACAATCACATTAACAGAGTTGAGGAAATATGTCGTGTACCAAATACAAGTTCTCGGCTATACAAGATTAGGTGATGGGGCCTTGAGTGATCCACCGGTTACCGTCAGAACATACGAAGATAGTAAGTCTTCATTTATTTGTTAATAAAACATTTATAGTTGATACTTTACTTTTTTTCTTATGATAAATTCTGTATTGTTTTGTTAATTCAATTTGAAGTTTAGTTACCATTATTATAGAGTATATATTTATATACATGTAACATATTTCAGCTCCTGGTCCGCCTTCGAATGTATCTTTTCCCGATGTAACATTCACTACAGCACGTATTATTTGGGATGTACCAGAAGACCCTAATGGTGAAATATTGGCCTATAAAGTAACATACCATTTAAACAACACATCTCAACATGTCTTCTCCAAAGAGTTTTTACCTTCAGACAGAACTTTCAGGTATTGTATTACAATTATTATATCATAACGGCAGTATATTTAAGGTGTAATATTATTAGGTGTCAGGTCTTCTTTAGGTTATTGAATTAAATATAGTGAATATTTTTTACTATGGAATTCACGGAAAAATAATCAGCTGTTTCATACTGTTGGCGATTGTAGTTAGAAATTTTATATAAAAAAAGTGTTTTTTTTTTTCGTGAATTCAGAGTTGCTCACTTGTCAATTATATGTAACTCTTCAAATTTCTGGTATATAATAATGTTACAGATCTAATATTAGTGTATAATAAATAACTACCTATTATTTGTAATAGTAAAAGTAATGGTGAAACTAGTTCTAAATTGTATAAAACTAACCGCTTTCTTTGAGTTCACCTGAGTAACGGTAGCAACGCCGTCGCTTGCGACTGTCTGTGCTAATTGTTATTATCATTTGTCTTTTTATTATGGTGTGTAATATAGTTGTTTTGTTAAGTTTGATAATCTTTATGTTACTCCCACCTTGTTTTTAATTGATGGTAATATAAACCGAGTTGAAATACAATTAATATTTTTTGACAACGATATCAGTTGATGTGCCTATGACGTCATTTAGTTACGGTCGATAACGGCCATCTGTAATAAATTACTTACTGAAACGAATTCTGCAATAAAAAACTATTTGAATGTTATTTTAGAGCAACAGAGTTGTCATCGGAACGGTACTACATGTTCACGGTGACGGCTCAAACGCGTTTAGGGTGGGGTGCGACTGCCCGCGTGTTAGTACTGACGACGGTGAATAGAGCCGCGCCCGCTCCTCCCGCGCGGCCTAATGTCGCCCGCTCGCTACTTCAACCACACCATATCACCTTCTCATGGACACCCGGCGACGATGGATATGCACCTTTGAGGTTTTATTTCAATTTATTAAATACTAGCTTTTCTTCAGCGGCTTCGCCGGCGTAGGTAGTATGCCATGGTAAACAATGGTGACTTTGAATTACTTATACAAACTTTCACTCCTATTTTCATCCCTTTCTTTGCTGTTTTTTCGAAATAAAATATAGCCTATGCTCACCACATATAATGTAGCTTCCCGTAGGAGAATTTTTAAAATCGGTTCAGTAGTTTCGAAGCCTATTCGATGCAAACTTTATAATATTAATATGAGCTAGCTTTTTTGTCTGTCTGTCAGGTATCTTAGTTATTGAAGAATTTTAGAAACTTATTTTTCATCATCCCTAAAGTAGTTCTTGAACTCCATATATCTCCATAGTCTCATGTATGTAGTGTAATATAACTGTTTCGAATAGAAACTAACACATCCTAAAGGAAATCAACACAGGATTTGATTGTTTGATTAAATATTTACAAGCTGTTATTTTTAATCAACACTTTTTAACTCTGTGCTCTTTACACATTGTTGGGATTAGATTGATGAACTGACATAATCTATTATTTTTTTTATATTAGGTACTATACTGTGCAACAAAAAGAAGAAGGCGGTACTTGGCACACAATACCCGAACGAGTCGATCCATTTGCTACATCATACACCGCTGAGGGTCTGAAGCCTCATACTGCGTACCAGTTCAGGATACGGGCGACAAACGATATCGGCCCCAGTCGATACAGCAACGCGACCGAAACTGTTCGTACTTTACCCGCTGGTGAGTTAAATATATTATCGCATTTTATTAACCGTTTTAACAGAAACATTGACACATAGAAAAGAAGATTCCATCAAGAACATCACATGTACAAAAATGCACAAGATCCATAACTACCATCAGTTCCAAAGGGAGTCATGTCTGATAAGAACTGATAAAACAAACTCCGATAAGATAAGTGAGTTGCTCCTCTTAATATTACTCCTATTAGCAGAATGAACTACCTATCTTTGTGTGGGAGCGGCTATCCAACCTTGTCTTAGACTTAGGAATACTAAACATGAGAACTACAACCATGTCACGTATGACTTAAGACTTGCAGCCTATAAGACATGTACAATCAAAACAACTCCTCAGAAAGGAAGGTTACAGAAATAAAATATTTACTGATGAGAAAATTATTACAACTAAGCAATATTTTAACAACTGAAATTACCGTAATTACGCTCAAAGAAGCTCCACGATTAGGCAACAGATTACAACCTGGGCATTATCCGACTTCAGTGATGGTTTGGTAGGGTGTTAAATGAAGGAGTGACCGAGCCATATTTTTGTAAAAACGTATCAAAACACAAAGGCAGCGACACAAGTGTGTCAAGATATTATTCTTGAGCAGGTAGTAAAGCCCCTTAACAACATGCATGTTCAATAATCAAGAATGGTCCTTTCAGTAAGATTCGGCATCAGGTTATACGTTTACGTTTTGTATAAAAAAAAATGATTTTCTTAAAAAACAACATTGATGGCAAGACTATGTATATACAGCATGTTTGGTAATACCTGTATAATCCCGAAACATGGCCATATAACCTAGCACAAAGAACACAATTGATATGTCAAAAAACAATTTCACGTAAATTGATATTTTCATACAAATATTTGAATAATTTGTTTTCAATTACTATGCTACAACCCTGTAAGCTTACACGTGCCGTCCCGGCGCGCTCGCTCTTTCTCTCTCGCTCTCTCTCTCTCTCTCATTACCTCTCACTCTCTCGTTTCCTAGAATACATTTTGATGTTGCCGACGCGCGCACTCGACTACGTATGAGTTTACTTGTAATTAAAACAATTTAAGATTAAATAGGTACATACCTACAGCGTTCTAATCACTCTTTCAGCTTTCACTTGGCAACATTACCTACAAATTTGAAAAGAAAAGAAATAATAAAAAAATAATAAAAATGTTCTTTATTAACATTATTTCCATCATTTACAACCTTGAAATTATCCCAGTAAGTAATATAAAATACTTGTATTGGGACCATTTCGCTCCAGCTTTGTAGCAAGTACATATTTTAATGTTAACAAGAACCAAAATGAATGAGTGAATGAGTTCGTGGGTGAGGTATTGTGTTGTGAATGTGTGTATTGTGAGTGTATGTATTGTGTTATGTGTTGTGCCTGTGGGTGTGTGTTGTTATCTACATATATATTATATATTTGTATTTGTATGTATATGTGTATGTATGTATGTATATGTATATGTCGCAGCCAAGCGGCACAATTAGCAACCCAGTCAGCCGGCCGACCACGCCACTCGACTGCGACATACACATACATATAGTACTTATTTAGTTAATTCTTTTCAATATGTCCTCAGTTTCCTCATATGTAAGAGTTTTTAAGAATTCTATTAATATATCTTTACATTCATACAACTGTTTATCATATATATTTAGTTTCCTATTTAATTTATTATATAAATAAGCTGAAAAAAGAAAAGAAATATTATTTATTATTAGACCTTTCCATTACAACTAACCTTTATTTAATTATCATTTAAACTAAGAATAAGCGAGATACTTAGATTATTAATATCATTGTATAAGTCCGTATCTTATTGTTTCGTGAAAATAACACGGCTTTATGAAAAAAATAACAAAACTTCAAAGCAAATAATCTACAGAACCTTACTGACACATCAGAAACCCGAGTTTCTCAATACACATCGTCGTCGATTTTATGTCTCTGTCGCTCCTTCTTGCATAGACTAATGTGAGCAATGGTGCAGATATTGCACTTCAATCAAAGTATTTGCAATTTCTTTTTTATTTTGACTGTATTATTAGAGAAGTTTTCTTAATAATAGTTTTTGAAACACCGTTAATCACAAGATTAGTGTTTTTTTATGGTTAAAAGTCATTTACTACTAACTTTTTCTTTGTTTGGAAATAATAAGTTACTCTCGGATGCATATTTATTCTAGGCATTTATCTTTAGATTTATTTAACTTCTGTTATTTTTTAAACTAGTTCGGACATGGAGTCGATGACCAAATACAACACAACAGCTGTTTTTAGGGTTGTCAGCGTACAGTTTTACTTCGAAGAAACAAAGCTGAATATCTAAGTCATGTGCTGGGTTTCAGACTTAGTGATCATTTTTCTGGGTTCTATTCATCATACCGTATGTGCCATATTCGGGATTATACAGGTATTACCAAACACGCTGTATTGTCTGTTATTACAAAACAACAGTCACTAATATGCACTTGTATATGTTATTGTAGAAATGGCGTTCGATTTATTTTAAATATCTTAAAATGTTTGTTTCTATAGCTCCAAGCAAAGCCGTAGAAAATCTAAGAGTGGTACCAATCACCCCAAGCAGCGTACGGGTGCAATGGACTCTTCTTGGTGAACAATACTGGAGCGGTGATACGCGCACTGGAGGTTACCGTGTCTTCTACCAACCCCTTACAGACTTCCCCACAGCTCTCCAACAGACAATGAAACAGGAAGTTCCAGGAATTAAGGTTTATAACAAAATATTGTTTTTCATATTAAGTCTACCAAAGGCACAGAGGTTTGCACCTCTTAGTATTACATCACTATTCAGCATCATGTTTATTGAAATGTGACGTCACAGCTTAAAAATTGACTTGTGCTGATCAATTTAAATTAATGTGTATAAATATTTTTTTCCTTTGTTTAGTAACACTTTTTGGAGGAAATAGGATAGTGGAGTTGGAGGAAGATGAAAGTGTTAAATTACTTTTCCCAAAACAGTCAAGCCAATTATCGTAATAATTAAGCAATAAACCTTTCTTCATCGACAGAGTGAGGAAGTGGTCCTGACGGATTTATCTGTGGACCGCAACTACGAGATCAGCGTTTGCGCAGTGAACTCTCAGGGGGCGGGTCCGGGTGGTACCCCGGCGGTGGTCTGGGTGGGGGAAGCGGTTCCCACTGCGCCCCCTCGTGACGTCACCGCCGACCCACTCTCACCCACTGAGGTCACGCTGACGTGGAAACCACCGTTATTGGCGCAACAAAACGGCGACTTATTAGGCTATAAGGTCAGCATTATCACGTGATCATAGAAGCGGAATTTGTATCGTAGAATTCAGTTGATAGGAACGTCGATAATACTTTACTGTGCCATGTTGTATGTTTTACTTATGAAATATTAAAATTATTTATTTACTTAAACTTTTGTAATCTTTATTAAATAAAGATGGAAATTAATCATAAAGCCTTAGTACTGGTAAGTAAATAAGGATAAATCGTTCTCTCTGAGGATAACAAAAAGGTGCAACTCTTATCCTGTAACATCATTAATATTTAAAAAAAGTAAAACTATGACAAATTTAAATTCTTGACATAATTTTAAGAATGATGAGTTTAATCTTTTGTTATTTTTTCTTTTTAACTGTGTCGTCGAACTTTTACCATTTTGCCTGATGAGACGCTTTCTATTGTCACAACTGTCCAGAACTCAAATGAAAACAGATGTTAATCAATGACGTAATTGATGTTATGAACAGATATTCTATTTGATGACGGAGTCTCCCGAAGAGCCAGAACCTGGTCGCAAAGCTGAGGAGGAGATCGAAGTGGTACCCGCTACGGCTACCTCCCACTCGCTGGTATTTCTGGATAAATTCACGCAGTATCGCATTCAGGTAATTTTTTGATTTGAATAAATATAATAAAGTCAAACTTAACAGAAATATGCTCCGTCGATTAGGTATGAAAAGAATATCCTTCGAAAACGACGTTACCGATATACAACCCAAATTAGATCTAAAAGCGGGGAAAATGGAAGGGTAAGAAGAAGACTATACTCGGTAACATCTAAGACATTAGGATTCAGCGATCTAGGACAGTGTCCTACGTTAATAACTAATCTGAAAAGCCAAAAGTAGAATAAGCTAGTTGGGTTGGCAGTTTGGCAGTCATAGCAGCTGTCTGTTAGTTTTTTTAGAACTTATGCTATGTTAAAATTGTGTAGTTAACTTGACGCTTACATAAATTGAAAAATGCGAATTTGCCATATTCCTTAGAAAAAGGCGATAAACACCTTACTTTTTTCCATATTATATATATTTTTTCTCATATAGTATTGCATATATTTTTGTTTGTTCACGATTCAACAACCGTTTTTTTTTTCATCGATTTTAATCGAACAAAATGCAGGTGAAATCCGAAAGGGCTACGCCGATATAAAACTAAAACTTTGACCCCAATTTGACGGACATCGCTGCCATTACACGATGATGCATTCAACGGTTCTGTACAGGTGTTAGCATTCAACCCGGCGGGTGACGGTCCACGTTCAAAAGCAGTTTTAGTCCGAACACATCAGGGTCTACCAACGGCACCAAGAAACATCACCTTCACAGATATCACTATGAATAGCCTCATAGTATCGTGGGAGGCGCCTTATAGACGGAACGGTCTTATTCAGTCTTACTTAGTCACGTACGAAACTGTCGAACAAGACGAAAGTGAGTAACTATGTTTTTTCATCATCTCACTAGCCCCATATTATGTAATGCCCTACTGGGGCTGAGGCCTTCTATGAATAGGGTCGAATCGAATAGAGAATGACCCATAACCCATAACGCGGGATGTAGCTGCGCCCAACGGCTTAACGTACCTTCCGAAGTATACAACAACTCGAGATGATAAATTTTTGGTCACCCATTCTATGACCAGCCATAACTAAAGTAACTTAACAGCCGTATTGCTGACCTGATTTTTTTTAGCGTGTAGTCAAATATAATATGGAATGGAATCGATTGATTAAACAAAGCAACCCCGTCAATTTAGAACTCTTGAAGTCTTTGCAAGAACTTTGCTATAAGATAATATATCCAAGGTACGATAATGGAACTGAAAGGTAGTTTTGGGTACCTTTGAAAAAAAAATCACCAATAATTGCGGAAAAAACATGAAATATCAATTTAAGGTTTCTTATATATTATTGTTTATCTTCACGATATGTAAAATCAGCGGGACACTTAAGGTCAATGTCTATCTCAGGATTTAGTAAGCAAGTGAAGCAGAAAGTGGACGATCGGCAACTCGCTGTGGGCGGACTAGAAGAGGAAGTCGAGTACTTATTCAGCGTGCGCGGAGTAACTATAGGGCCGGGTGCGAGCGGGACGGCACGAGTGCGAACAGGACCACAGATTGGTTCGCCATCGCCCCCTCGCGCATTGGTATTAACACCCGATCCGGCAGCTTTACATTTGCGCTGGGACAATGCACCTTCTGGTCAAGGGCCATTGCTTGGTTACTACATCGAAGCACGCAAGAAAGGTATGTAGATATGTTATACGACTACATACCTTGTTAGGTTACTCAAAGTAATTTTTAATGGATTTGAAACTTTATTCTGTTGATAGTAAAATTCAAAATGGGTTGCATTTTTGTTATTACTTTTTTTTTGTAACCTGAGGTACTGCCGTGTGTAAAGAGCTTATTCTTCTTATAATAAGGATGGTTAGTGCTTATTGTGTTTAGAAGTGGTTGAACAAAACACGAATCGAACATGGAGTTCAGTCAAAATTTCTACACATTACAATAACAAAGTTCTTAAGGTCCTAACTTTTGTAACCACTGCCGGTACCATGCTTTGTTTGCAAATAAAGTTTTACTTTGAAATTGTCTAGTTGACTCTTAAGAAAATTAGTATATCCAATAAATGTTGGTTAATATAATTTAAATCCACATGCAGCAAAGGAATCATGGCAAGTCTGTAAGTAATGTAATTCAACTTAGTCAAGTATATTAGCAGTTAGCGTTAACTATATGTTATACTAGCTTTCCTGCGGCTTTGCCCGCATGAAACTCGGTTGTTACCGCAGTTGGTATTTACATCCCATACTTCAACGCCTTAAAAACCTATTTTTCGCAATAAAATTATCCTATGTCCTTTCGCAAAGTCCACTCTATCTATGTTCCAAACATTAAAATTGGTAAAAACACACACACATCGTTTTTTTTTCATTTTTTTCTAAATCTTACTTTAATGAAGCCCTAGAATAACTGACATAAAATATAAGTTAATATGAGTTCAGAATCACCCTACTGCACTACATGTTACTTTAATATAAAACTTCCACAATGTTTGTTTTAAATAAAAGTTTATATCTTTATTTTTATTAATAATAACATTTACATTTTACTATGCAGACGACACTAGATGGGAGACAATAACTCGTACTAGCAACGGCATTCTGCAAGAGTTCACGATATCATACCAGAGTTTGTTACCGTCGACGGCGTACTCGTTCAGAGTGATAGCATACAACAAGTTCGGTATAAGCAACCCAACGTACAGTGACAAGGTAATCTATATATATATAAATTAATTTTTCTTCGTTTGTCTCCATAAAAGTCAAGAACAGCAGGGCCGATTTAGTTAATTTCTGTTTTGAAATGTTTGTAGTAGCCCAGGGAAGGTTTAAATGGTGGGAGGAGTAGCGAATTACACTGTTATTTATATAAAAATATATATCATTCTTAGTGGTTTCTGTCTTTGTTACTATTTATAATATTTATCCCTAAGTATTGACCGCAGTCCACTATATAGACTAGTTGTATTCACGCAACTTCGCCCCGCGCAAATAATAGACTATGTCACCCACATACCCATCGGGTTGAAACAGTACTACTCTACGTTCAATAGAGTATTGAAGTGCATGTTTATTTGGATTGAGTCCAGCCAAATTATAAAGAATCAAATCAAAGCTAAGGTAGTTAGTTACGCGGTAGTCCTGCAATAGAAACATAGAACTGAAATGTTTAAGTTTTAGTTGATTTCTAGGGTTCCCTACCCTGAGGGTAAAACGGGACACTATTACTAAGACTCGCTCTGTCGGTCTGTTACCAGGCTCTATATCATGAACCGTGATAGTCGAACAGATGTGTTTCTGTTGCTGCTACGAGTATATAAATATTTAAGGGGGCTTTCATACTACAAACATAATTATTTTCACAAATAACGGTACGAAACTCTTTGTGCGCGAGTCTTGTATAAATCTTGAATAATAACAAGCAACAGTTATTGAGTAGTATTTTAATTTTATAGGTGATCGTGACGCCTTCGAAACTGTATCTCGAATACGGATATCTACAGTATAGACCGTTCTACCGACGGACGTGGTTTATGGTGGCGCTGGCAGCCGCCTCCATTATCATTATAATCATGGTCATCGCGATACTCTGTGTGAAGAGTAAAAGCTATAAATACAAGAGTAAGTACCGCACGATTTTTAAGATAAAAAATACTTTATATCACAACACGGATATAAAGCAAAAGATAACATTACAAACAAAACGTATCTACTGACAAAGTCTATGTTACTTGAAAATTATATATTATTATAAAATTATTTTGCAAACTTTGCCATATGTTTTAAAATTAGACAATTAGTCTACATTGACAACAATCAATTTGTTTTCCATTCAAAATTTTGTTTTTTTTTTTAGCACAAGTTTTCTGCTTTTTATGAATTGGTCATCCGTACTTACCTATTTGAAACAGACAGTAAAATAAACTTTCTTTACTTTGGTGAAATAGAATGTCGTCGTGGTACACATTATTATTGTTATACATTCACAGAAGAAGCGCAGAAGACCTTAGAGGAGTCATTAGCAGGCGAAACGGACGAGAGGGGCTCTCTCGCCATGGATTTATATCGATCGCGACAGAATTCAGTGGCTAGTGTTGGAGCGCTGGGCAGTGCCGGTGGAACATTACGGAGGGGAAAAACCGCTCCAGCCCTAGGGAAATCCCCGCCACGCCCCTCCCCCGCGAATGTCGCTTATCACAGCGACGAAGAAAGCCTCCGGGCATACGACGAGAACCCCGACGACTCATCAGTGACGGAAAAACCGTCGGAAATGAGTTCCACCGATTCACAGGTAATCACAATAAAAATAAGCGTCGTATAAACCATGATAGTTTACGAGGTTGTTACAAAAATGTGCAAGGTTTTTCTAAAACTCGATGTTTCAGTATGCTTAAGACATTACTTAGAACCAAAAAGAACAAGTGCTGGAACACGTAGCAGCGGCAAGTTGGTAAAATAAAAGTTACGCACTAAAGGTGCTATTTAATAATTATTATTACATGCACTAAAGGTGCTTTTTAATTTAATTAAATGAATTTAACGAAAAACTTAATTTAAAAAAGTAAACTGAACTAAACTTCTCATATTGCACAATCATAAAACGTGGCGAGTTAGCAGACCTCAGAAGTTGGTTTGGAAATGAGGTCCGAAAAAGAGTTTAGTAATGGTTGAAAGTTAATTTATTACTTAATTATTAATGGTTATTCAAAAAAAAATCCTCAAGACTTTCATTTATAAGAACACATATTCATCAATCGCTAGAAGTTTGTTTCGCACCTCTACAATCGGTACTAATTTGATACCCTTAGTACTTAAACATACTGAAATATCAAGCTTTAGAAAACTCTTGCACCTTTTTGTCACGAGCTCTCCGTCTATAATGAAAACAACACGTGCCCGTGCTCCACTAAATACGGTCCTTATTTTTTTTGTCCCGACCACTTCCGAACGGATTGCGCGACGGTAAATATTTATGAATAAATGAAATATGGCTATCGCTAAATTTATTTTTTGACACGCTTCGTAAACCGATGAGCACCTTTTTCTGTAGGCACTGGTACTAGTTCTTTTTCATAAATGTTTTAAGTCTAAAACGATTATTGTTTCGATATTCTAATATGATTTCTTTTTCTTATAACTTCTAGATTATAGACCGAAATAAATATTATACAGTTTTGCTGTTTGACTAAGACTTGCTTAATGTATTATAATGAAATACACAGATCTGTGGCATCATGTAGCTAGAAAATACTGAATTGGGGTATCGTACATTAAATAATGAGCTGCTAATTAACAATGCACACCAACGAAGTGACGAAGAAACAAGTGATTTAATAAAATCAATACTTTATTTGATGAAATTGAGAATTATAACTACTTATGTACATACACTCGTCAGGTTATACAAAATTGACAAATTATCTCATTCAATTTAACCCTTAATATATTGAGAGCACAGATCAAAATTCATTGGGGAAAGACATATTGTGGTAACCTGACGTGCAGCATTTGTACATAGTTTATAGATATTCCTTTGGTTCATTATTTCATTCTTATGCAAATGTATATACACTCACAAGCACAATTAACCGCCCACCTTCTATTTGTTTCAATTCGCATCTGGACCTCTTAAAGCCATTCTGCTCTCATCAGAGAACAGTATGTTCTTCCATTTCTCTACAGTCAATGAGTAAACATTATAATTTCAAATTAAACAATATTCGCTCACTATGATAGAAAACAATATGAAATGTTAACTCGGTAACACAACAGCTACAATGTAAAACAAGGACTAAATTCCGAAAACCTTCGGTGACACAAATTTAGGAAAGAAAATAATGGTATGAGTGTTTTATTTATTGCTAGAGCACCCACTTAACAAAAAGCAAAACAGTTGATAAGTCATAGTCGACAGAACCAAACAGATTGATAAATATTACAGGTGGGCGGTTAATTGTGCCTGTAAGTGTAGTTATTGTAATCGACGTCGCCACGTTGATATGCGTTGATTCATTAATTATTCAAGTCATCTACTACAACTTCATAGAGTTAACTATGTTAACATTTTAAATAGAGATAACGTAAAAATTGATAGAATTAAATCTCATATATTTCTGTTATTGTTTATTAATGAACAAGTAAGTAATAAACTGTCACTTAAAACCTTAATTAATTCATAAGTTATCTAATTATAATTAGAGTAGTGTATTTCGCTGATTATCTCACCTAATATTGGTGTCGTTTAATAAGTCGTCATATACGAGTGGTCTACTTTCAAAATCCGCTAAAAGGTTTTTTGTAAAGTATTGAACGGCTGAAACATAATATTATTGAACAAAGTTAACAATTAAAACGACAAATTTACAAAATGAAAATAGTACCTTTTCAAAGTCCTGACTCGGTTTTCATATAAAAACGTTTTTTGAAAGTGAACCCTCATTAGTCGATGCGTATGTGTCACAAAAACTCGTTACTCTATTCAATTAAAATAACATATCTGTTAATAATGTAATATTAATGTAATAATAATGTAATAATGTAATATTTTCGTTTAGAATTCTGAGAGCGAGAACGAAAGCGTCCGTTCAGAGCCGCACTCGTTCGTCAATCACTACGCGAACGTGAACGATACGCTACGACAATCATGGAAGCGGCAACGGCCAGCGCGCCGCAACTATTCCAGTTATACGGACTCAGAGCCAGAAGGCAGCGCGGTCATGAGCCTAAACGGAGGTCAGATTGTAATGAATAATATGGCGCGATCCCGGGCCCCACTACCCGGTTTCTCATCCTTCGTATGACAACAACTTCCCGACACGGCGCCTGCGCAAGCCGTGCACATGTAACATTCACTGCCCATTCCCATAATAGGGCCATTAGACGATCGATCTGGCGTCAAACCAATCCGACATTCATTGATCGTCTAATGGCAATTTAATATTAAAAGTTGAGAAATTGTATATATTCGTTCCTAGATATAAAAGACAGCTGATAAAAATCTCAGTGGCCATCGATGATCGCACGGTATGGTTGTATAATGTAGTTTCATCATTTACACTGTAAAACTGTTGCAGCTATAAATTATGAGATCTCGTGTGGTCGTGTACAGTGGGCCATATTATTTGTTAATATTTTTTAAGATAAGTATAGAATACGTAACAACAATGAAGTTCAACACAAACGTTTTCTCAAGTAAGTAACGTGTATGTATGCAAGAGCGAGCGGCAAAAACGATACGAGGGTACGAAGACGATATCCCTTTCACTTTAAACAACAGCGTACGCTTAGGAAACGATAGAGCGTAATAAACCTACATATTAACCTGTAAATGTAGATAATTTGTGATTTGACACAAAAGCTTCCTTGATAATAGTTACTTGAGCTAGCACATTATAGTTATAATAATTATATTAGTACCAACACTCGTACAAAAATTTGAAAAACATAACTAACGACAATGCCATACAAATAACTCAAAAGTGGATGTTCTTATTTTGGCAAACATTATCAATTTTAAATTTATGAATTCAAAGATAACTATATTATTATTGTTATATAATGAAAGTGCTATTTTATTTCACTGATAATTGTAGCAAAAATGTATTATTAGTATCTAAAAACTGTTTTTATGTAAAATTAGAAAAAAAAACGATGCTACCATTATTATTTTACGTGATGGCTAGAAAAAATATTAGGTGCTGCTAAATTTATGAAATGTAACATTTTATAGCTGATAATTTGATATAATAATTTTTGCTATATTCATTCTTGATAACCATGTTAAAAAGAGTTGTGGGTTTGGTAAACAAGTATGAATAAAAGATTTTCTATAAAGTACAAAAGAAGCAGTTATACTCTTTGATTTTAAATATGTAAATGAAACATTTTTTTTATATATTTATTTTTTACTTCAACTGCATGTACTTTAATGTGATTTTGCGAGACGAATAATGCATATGATAAAAATCAAAAATAAAAATTCTGTCAAGCCACTTTAATATCGCTATTTAGGCCAGTTATGGGAACTCCATACTTGAACCAAGTACACTAATATAACTTTTGTGACTCACCGATGTATTTGCGCAGAAGAATAATCTGCCATCGGGCGATCGCTGCGCCTAATTCCCGCCCAGTGTGAATGAGACAAACACCTAATGCATTGTATTTTTCACCTTATGATTATTTAAAAAAAGGACTCACTATAAACTTTAATCGTACCTTATGTCATTATCGATCTGCTCTGCGCAAACATCCACTATCGCCATATTAGGAACTTCCTGTACTTGTTTAGGCAATAATAAAATCGAATTTAACTCCGTATAAGTTCTATTTGGTACATCTCATTAAATAATAAGAATTTAGCAAAGATGTATTTTAGAACAATAACATAATAAATCGTATTTATCATAGACTCTGTTATACTTAGCTTTGTCTCTTGATATTGTGATTGAAAACAAGTTTGCAAATTATTATTCTTAGAATGATAATTATTATTTGTAGAATTAAGTACTCCAACTTATTTTTAACTTATATGCAATTGACTGATAGTTTTAGAATTAATGTGTTTATTGTAAATAAATGTATATTAGGCAGCTATATGCATTTAATACCAAGTTTAAATTTGGCACAACTATATATTTAAGGCAACTGTGATCTATTGTAATTTTCTATACTTTTTATGAGATGTGTTTCTTCTTCAGCATTCATCTTAAATGGAATTTTATCTCCATCAATGACCAAAATAAATTTGAGGATCCCAATGTTTTAGAGATAATTATTATTGATGTTAGATACAAATGTACTTTTAAACCATTTACATTATACACAAATACAAATATTCCATTCATGCACATCTAATTTTTATATGTTCAGCCTACATTAAAAGTTTTTAGGTGGTGTTATCCAATATCTGCAGTCTAATTTTGGCTGTTGATTCCATTGTAGGTGCCATTATATTAAAGACTTGTGAATCTAATTGTTTAAAGGGTAACTAGCTTAATGTTTCAGACAACCACCGACTAAGTTTAAATAATTGACCTGATGATTAGGAATTCTTCTGAAATTGATCCCTATAAACAAATAGACAGCAAACATTATTAATTTATTTTTTTATAGAAATAAAACTATGAAATCATTATAAAGAAGCAAGTATTTTATTTTTCTGATGAACACTGGCATATTTTTTAGGTGGTAACATGCATAGCATAAAAAACTTAAGGAAAGCTTTGTCTGTACCAAATTTAATTTTCTTGGGTTGAGAATGAAATATTGTATCGTACTCAAGAAGTGACAGGTGTAGACAATACGTTCTTGAGTTCATGCTACACATACAGCAAGTCGTATTGATATCTCAACAAACTTTAAAAACAACACTAGAAGCTTTAATGTTTTCTTGTTTTTATTGTTTAACTTTGAATTGGCCAGATTATTTTGTCTGTGAAAAATGAATTTATCTAAATAATCGTTAGAATTTTATCATTTTGAGTCCACTAATTATCACCATTTTAATGGGTATCATCACAAATAATAAATATATATTAGGTAAATACTGAGTAGTAAAAGCTGTTCTACAATTTTGTATTTTAAAAACAAAGGATTTATGTACTGTAGCAGAAACGAGAATAAATGTAAATTCAACTTTTATTTCCATCTTCAATTACAAATCTTTTCACATTGCTCAAACCAACTAATTGGCACAGATTTTGGTTTATTTCGTAGCTGTTTGACAACATTATACAAAGCCACATCTACAATCGAAAACTCATTCTTGTACATCCAATCTTTATGATGAACTAATATTTTTTGTATTATAGCATCTTTATTCTTTTCTGGGGTTTTTTCTAATAAATAGCAATTATCCAAGAGGCCATCTACTATATGATCATTCATATCATATGGAACAGTGTTTGGGTAGACTAGTGATAAATACCGCAATATATTTACACTGCTAACAATTGGAATTGCCAATGAACTTAACTTCAATTCCGAGTCTGTTGAAACTGAAAAGAAAAAAGAACAACATTAAATAATATACTTATTATGCCTAAGTAATAACAAAATGCTAGTATGTAACTTAAACTGCACTTAAGATTCTATTAATAACTCCAGGATGTAAGTAATGTTTATCTTCTAAAGTATCTTAATAAAAAACATAAGTAAAACACTAAGCTAAATCCAAAACAACAATCTTTCCCTAAGAGAATGAGTGCTATTCAAACTGAATCTAATAAGACTTGATTGCCTTAATGCCTGATTTTGGATTAAACATGATGTAAATTAGCTCTATTAATTAAGAAAATACATCATCCCATACCAAGATGGATTAAACTTACCACAGCTAAAAATCAATCTCAAGTTTATTTTTGAATTTAAGTTAATTTTTTTGAAATTCTTCAAAAATGCTAGAATCTTCGGTTTTTTCTCATTAGCGACTGATGAATGAATGTGCCAAGTTATATGGACCTCTATGGAAGGGTCTTTTAAGAAAACAAATAAATACCAAGGCAAATTATCTGGGTTGACATACAACACAATTTCTTCTGGTGTAGGTATCTGAAATGATAAAGGTAAGCAATTTGATATATTTCAAGTAAGCTTATGAAAGCAGTACCTAGTTTAAGGAGAACCTATCGCTGGGAGACAGAAAGAATCATACAAAGAACCCTCTACTTTCATAGCTCTCTACATATGCTGGTTTTTCTATCTTCTCTCTAATAACAGGTGAATCAACTTCCTTAGCATTTACATCATTCTCCATTTGCTAAAATTTGCCAAAAGCAATTTATGAATTCCCAGATATCTATATGAAAAGATACTTACAGATTGTATTTTAATTTTATTGCTCTTTTGCAGCTGCACTTTCGTATTAATTTCGTTCGATGCACAAATAGAGCTTATAATTTTGATCCTATCATAAAGTATATCCAGTTTCTTTAGAAGTTGATCTTGTCTTTGTTCAAGTTCAGCCATTTTGTCTGATGGTCTCTGCAAAATAATAAACTTTAGTTTGACAAGTGTGCCATTCTGCTGTACAGTCAACAGCATGTCAGGTTACACAAATCTGTCAAATTTCTACATTTGATTTTAAAACTTAACAATTTGAGGGTAGAATTTAAAATCAACTGTAGAAATTTGAGATATCACATATTGTGACATAACCTTATAAAGGAAATATAAATTTATTTCTAACTAAATGATGTATTGGTCAGAATAAAATAAGAGAATTAACTAAAAGTATGTGGTTTGTTCACAACGCCTTTTAAAGTTTCTTGCAAACAATGCCAACATCATGTCAAGCTGAGGTTAAAAAAACATTCTTAACTATACATAATTTCAATTTGAATGAGTAGGTTATTCCCAAGTTACATGTAATCATAGAAGTAGAAAATAATAAAATATATTATTTATACTTGTTACCTCAGCTATATGTAAAAAAATGGAAAATGAAGTTTTACAGGATTGAAACAAATTGAGTCTACTTTCAGTGAAACAGAATTGCTACCAGTATCCTTCAATCTCAGATCTGGCAGGTATAATGTGTAAACTCTTTGAACTTCATTTCGATTGTTACATTAAAAGCTCTTTTTTAGAATTGTACTGCCTCCTAAACAAATCAAAGTTCATTGTTGAGTCAAATAAAATCATTTCCATGTACACAGTCCTAAGTGATAACTTACACTATTGAATGTTAACAGCAATTTAAATAGAAATGCACTTAGCATTTCTATGAATTTTAAGTATTTATGCAGTAGATTGGCAAAGCTGTATTCATGAAGTCGACAAAATTAATTGATGAGGGTAATAAAAGTTCTGTTGTGATAATTTAAAACGCACGATTGCTAGATACTGTAGTTACAGATGTTAGGTTAGGTAACGTCAAACTTCTATACAGTATTAAAATTTGGTAGAGACATTTATCTGTTGGTCTATAGGTGTTTTGATCTAGATGAATCAAGACTAAACTAACTGCTATACGTTTAGCGAAACTTCAAAAAAATAAGGATAAAAATGAACCTTTATGAGCTTGACAATCTGGTGACAAATATTAATATCGTTTTCAAAACATTGGCTTAATTGATTCGGGTTTCTGATACGATACATGCATTTTGGTAAATCAATTTCACAATCTTGAGAGACTATATTCCTCATTTGATACATAGTTTTAGTAAAATTACGAGTAACGCACCACTAAGTACCAGACGTACCGAACGCGTACCCACAGATAACTATTTAGTATTTATTAATTAGTATCTTCTTCTTGGTCTGTGATATAAGGGACTGTCTGCATCGCGATTTTTAATCGCGCGAATGTTTTTTGCAATGACACCACACCTTGCCCGCATTGCGATTATAATTCCGCGCGATTTTTGTTAGTTTTATGTAGCTTCTGATCGAGACGAACGTCTAAAAAACCGGTCAAGTGTTAGGCGCCTATTACACTACCCAATCTATCGGGCCCGATCCATCGGGTACACTGTAAATTAGGTAGTCTAATTGCAGTTAGAGATAGGGTTCGAAGTATCGGCTTCTGGTATCGATACCGAGTACTCATGTGGTATCGAGGGTCATGGTATCGATACCATAAAAGTATCACTCCCAAAGTATCGATATTGCTCAGTATCGAGTATTTATCAACATCATTAAAGAAGGCTAATCCTAAAAAGAAAACAATCTACCAGACGGACAGACAAACAAAAATTTGTAAAATGTGTATGAAAAATTGTTACAAAATATTTGTTTTTGGGAAACGAAAAAAAAAAATGTCTATAACGAAAATATAGTTTATTAAAAAAATCAATTGCCTTTGCCTTTCCATTTCAAAGTAAATTGAAAAAGAGAAAAAAAAAACAAAAAAATACCGATCCAATACTTCCATACATTTATACAATTCAGTCATACATTATTTTTATGGCAGCCAACAGGGTAAAGAAATAAAAATAAAAACCAAAGAGTAAAAGTATAAGATTTAAGTTGAAACGTCAAATGCAAATGCCTATAGTATATATTCTTTAGCAAGAATACTAGATACCAGCAATTTTGATGAGTACTTGCGAGTATTTACCTTTTTGTAGTATCGAGTACTTAGTATCGAGTTTCGCTTTTGAAAGTATCGATACCTACTCGGTATCGAAAGTATCGTTCGAACCCTAGTTAGAGAGTTAGGATCCCGATATCGGGTGAACGTGGGCGCCCGATCGCCCGATGAGAGTTAGGGCCGATTTATCGGGTAATAGCGATGGGTCGTTATCCATTTTTCAAATCACGTAACGCAATCGCTATCAGATCGCCAATCACCGATATCAAAACTATCTATTTTTGATAACTAGTTATTTCTACAACGCTAAAGTCAAACCGAATTTTACTCTTATGCTAACGCGATAAAGCTCAATTTTGGGTTGGTCACTTGATCACTCCGAAACCCGAATACCGTGAGCGAACTAGCATATACCTATTTCATTCACACGTATACTACATCCTATTTTTGTTTCATTCACACATGACAGATTGGATTGATTGCGATCCACATTATTTAAACGCTCTACATTACGCGTTACATTCTATACCGTTATTAAAATTGTACTACATGACCGTCAATGTAAAGCGTTAATATATAAAGATGTCTACGTATCGCTGCGATCTGTGATCGCTGCTTCTTGGTGATCGATGCTACCTTGAAGCGAGGTAACCGACAATCAACGTAATGTCGTTTACATAAGAGTGAATTCGGTCTAACCTTAGAACGTTATGGATAATAGACAGTTATTGTAAACCTGTGATCGCTAAATCTTGGTGATCGTCAAATCAAAGATCGACTTTATGCTGTTGACATACGAGTGAATTTGGTTTAATTTTAGAACGTTATGGAAAATAGATAGTTATTGTATAACTGAATCACGAGTGATCGCGGTTCAGGCAGATCACTAGTTGAATAACTGTCTATCGCGAATAACGTCCATCGCTATCGGGTAATGTGATCGCTGTTAGGGTGTTAGAGCGCTCAGTCGGTTGTTGCGCAGCGTGCGTGTGAGACGTCAGTGAACGACAACGAAATTTGCGAACAGACAAAATGTCTTCTCAAAAGGAAAATAAATAATATTAAGTGTAATTTAATATTATTACTTTTTCTTATATATTTCTAGATAGCCTTTGCATGTGTCTGGTACAATTATAAATTTTATATAAATTACAATAATAAAAACTAATGCTATAATAAACTTTATATTATTGTTGTGCCCGATAGGGTCCATAGTGAGACTAACTTATTTAAGTAATATTATTTTAAATTACCTATGGAAACAATAAACTTATTGAGTATTTATACTTTAAGTCATGATATGCATTTCCCGTTGCTAAAAATTTTAAGGTTACAGCACAGCTAACCGCTGTTTTGCGCTATATAAGGTATGACTAAGTTTAATATATGATCAAATTGTGCAGAACTCATTCTGTAGTAGTTCAAACTGCATAGTTGGTCATTTAGAAGCAAATATTTTTCACCCAACATTTTGTTTTATTATTTACGCCCGCAGTTAAAGTATGGGCTATGCCAATTTTTTAGTACTTTGTGAGCGAAGGAGCCATCCTTTCAACGCCACGTTTGCATGCCAACTGAGTTAGGGAGGCGATCTAGTGCAGTGTAATCACAACGACACCAACCGCCCTAAATCGCGGCCGATATATCGTGCCCGATAGATTGGGTAGTGTAATAGGCGCCTTAGTCGGACTCGCGCACGTAAAGTTTCGTACCGGAAACGAGCAAAAAAAACGTTTGTTGTATGGGAGCCATATTCATTTCATTCTGGATTTAAATATTTGTGAACATTTTAACTGTCTAACTTTCATGGTTCATGAGATACAGCCTGCTGACAGACAGACGGCGAAACCTTAGTAATAAGGTTCCCGTTTTAGCATTTGGATACGGAATCCTAAAAGTTCAATACAAAACAATTTTAATTGCTTAATTTGTTTGATTTAATTCAAAGTATATTTCTTCCCACGACCTCGTTTTTAATTACTTATCATGACAGTTTGTCTGAAATTTGTCCCATAGGAGAGGCCTATTTTGAATTGGCATTATAAACATTTCTATCAATTTTGTCATTTTCAGCGGCCGCCGAGTAGACGGCAGACGAAACGCGTAACATCTTTACACCGCTAGTGCTGTGCTAATGTAAAAAAAAACTAAGCAATCGCAAAGGTATCTATAGTTTAGAAAACGCAATATTTTTTATACAGCGCGATTTTTTCCATTCTCCATTTTCGCGAGAGAGCTTGTGTAACACTTTGTGAATCACTTTCCAGGACTCGCCAATTGATTCAAAGAGTTCAAAATGCCTGTTGTACTTCAAATGGAATCCCGTAAGCAATTACATCTGGCATGTCTTGTTAAGTCATCAAATATCGTCGACCCAAATACCTGTGCGATAAATTATGTTTTTGCACTTCGCAACACGGTATTAGATCTGGTCGACACGTACTTGCGTATTATCATCACCGCACTCTGGCTTTCAAATGTAGTTTTCGATTTCAGGCAACAAAATGCTGGAATGATGTGCCGCCCCGCTGGGAAATCTCACTTCAATATATACTTAAAAATATAATTAAACCTATTAGCTCGATCTTCAGAAGGTATATTTAGTGCGATGATTGAAAGATTGATTCTTCCTGAAAGCTAACGATATTATGATTTTATTTTCTCTTATTGACATTGATGCAATTGACATTCTAATTAATTCCATTGTATCATAATCTCATATATATACTTAAATCTATTGAATATTAATTTCCTCTCCCTGTGCTGTCTAATCTATCATATATCTTTTCCTATTTATATGATTTTGACAATAATCCGCCCATTCACTCTAACTCTAGACTGGGTGACGGGATGAAAATCGGTGCTTCACCCATTCTTGAGTGATTTATGTGCACATATATCACTTATAACATTACGTATTCTGTTCTTAACTGTTCTTTGTATTGTACAAGTTTGTAATGTAGTTGTGTGTTATTGTCTGAATAAACTATTTAGCCATCTATCTCGTTATTTCTGATATTTTAATGGAAAGTGACTTCATAGTCTAATTAAGTCACATTCCAAAAAGACTTCTATGTGTAAAATATAACAGAGAGAAAAAAGCAGCTTTTGTTAAGTTTCTTGTCGATTCTTCTCAGTAAAAGTTTTGCGAAGCGGTGATATAGCTTTCGACTTTAACAACTACTATGTAACAGCCTAGACTGAATTTTAATAATTATATTAATATCATTCGACGTGTGGATGCATAATGCAAATACTGCACATAAAAAATAACAGAATTCTATGCTCCACTTTTTATTCTTCATTCTAAACCTGAATGAAAAAGAAACATTAGTTCCCGAAATTAAACTATATGTCGCTACGGTACGCTCTTGATTTCTCCATGACAATCTTTCCGGTTTTCTTTCATGCTTAAAAGTAAATTAGTTTTCAAAACTCAATAAACAACTCACAGTCTATTTGTACTTTTTCGTACTTGTATTGATTTTTTTAAGTTTCGAACTTTTCAAATTTTAGTTTTTTAATATGTTAGTTAAAAGGAACGGAAATGACTGTCTTTGATCCATTCGTTTCCTGAAAAATTCAACTTTTGCTAGAGTCGCCATCTAGTGGAGGTGCTTTTTTAGTGCTTTTGTTTCTAAAGATTGATGACGAATCAATTAATGCTTCATTTGGATCATCGATTCACAGAAAGATTCAAAAGCAGAGAGCAAGGACTTAATTGTATTATAATTATATTTAATAATTACTTAATTATTTTCATTGACCTGATGATTGAATGTTTGTTTTAAAAATATAATAAAATTATTCTTTTACCAAGATAAATCTAAATAATACTTTTTATTTTATAAGAAGCTTCAAAATACACTTAAAATGGAAATTATTCTCCTTCATACTTTGTTTAGGCTTAGGACATATTACACTTCAAAAACAACTATTTATACTATTTTCGTAATGTTCTATTAATTTATTCGATACACAGACTTAATGCAATTTACTGATTTACTAATTTAATGACAAGATCGGTTTTTGCATTCTAAATCTTGTTCATACGATATGATTCCAAAACAAAAGTCAAGTAAAAGTAATAAATAATCAAATATAGTTGCTGGCTGGCCGAGAAGTGCGCTCATTTGTTACCGTCACGATAATCGATGTCATCTGAATCTTTCCGAACAGTCGTTCTGTTTTACGCAGTTCATTCGTGTCAGTAAGCCCGACTGTCGGAGTAAACTTTGAGATTCGGATCAGTATTTCATTTTGCTGAACCGACTCACTGAATCAAATCGATTCGTAAAGATTTACACACGTCTATTGCACAGTTGGTTAGTGCCTAAGTGGCAACGAACCTTCGACCGGAGCGACACGTCCATGTAGCTGATGTAGCCCACCTATGATATGTTGAATATTCAATAAAACGATATTTAAACTTCTCTATGAGTTAGCAGTTTATAAAGAAATTTATTGAGATACTCGTTTTATTATTTCCAGCATGCATATCATATCCCAATTATACAAATCGACGCTGGAAAGCAAACACGTAGTAACCCGCAAAACCAAAATGGAAATTTAAAGTGGAAAATCTTTATATTTTTCAAAAAAAAAAATTTTTATTTCCGTATAAATTGATTAAGGAACACCTTATTTATTACCATGGACGTTTATAGGAATTATTTATCGAAAAAAATAAAAGCTTTTCTGCTCTAAATAAAAATTTTGTTTTTGCGGGTTACTACGTGTTTGCTTTCCAGCGTCGAAATGTACTCTTTGATCCATATCGTAATAAACAGTTCCGACCTGAAAAGCATTAGGTCGGATGTAACTATATTTTTATAATTATATATAATTTATATATATTTTTATATTTTTTATATATATATATTTTTATATTTTTTATATTATATTTTATATTATATTTATATTATTATATTATATTTTTATATTTTTATATTTTTATATATATTTTTATAATTTATAACTATATTTTTATAACTGTATAAAAACAGAAATAGCTAAATGCAATCAAAATATTTGAAAAAGTCGTCTGATCCGACTTTATGCATGACTGTTGCTCATGAGTAAAAAGGCACAAACATACAAGAGTTAATTTGCCGGAAAGAGAAAAAAGAGTGTAGCAACGTTATGGCGATAAGTGATTTTAGCTGGTTCTGCACATCCGACCTAATGCTTTTCAGGTCCAGAGTTACTGCCATTAGAAAATAAGGAATAAGTGGTTAAGGTGGCTGGCAACTCCGGATTTACCAACCTTACAACTTGTACATCCGCTATTTAATAATTTACTTTCTTCTTTTAATTTTAGATTTGAACAGCGATTTGGCAATAGATAGTAATAGATATACAATAAATTTTCTTTGCATTTTTCCAATGTAAAGTATGTGATATTTCAGTAAGCACATAAACTTACCAATTTTGGTTGTCGCTTGACTAATCTTTAAACAGAAAATGGCGACCGCGCTAGAGGATCGAGTGTTTCAATCTGTGCTATTATTCTCTATTTAGCGATTGCTTACTTTTAGCCATTAAATAAAGTATGCTGTGACTTACTTGTACTAAAAATATTAATTTTGTCTAAGCTTGTGCAATCGTATAGGCTTCCTGAAGCAAAATCCATTGATACTTTGAAAATTCAATACCACAAGTATGAAAACGACATGGCGGACTAAATCGACCAATGAGAAGCCAGCGTCTAAGCGTTTTACAATTGCATGTACTCGCATTTCGCGTCATTACGATTTTGGTGCCTTCTTTCTTTTGATAAAAATACTGTGCCTCTCCTGTTATCAGTGATTGGGTCGGCTTCAATAGTACAGTAAGAAAAGACATTTATAACGAAGGAATCCTAGTTTGGATACGTGATTGTCTGAGTGTCGCAAAGCGCTGGGATCATGACGGCGTTGGATTTAGGATGAACTGAAATGCAATTCTATCGTTTTGTTTTTGTAAACAAGACTATGTTTTTGTGGTACACGTGCGAGTTGGTATATAATTGACAGTTGCTTCAATGATGTCGGGAAGAGGGGCTAAGAAACGCGGGAGACCCCCAAAATCTGGAAGTTTTGAGAAAAACAGGAAATTTCAATATCATTTATTGAAAAAACCGAAATATTTACAAAATTTACATCAGCAAAATGTGGGATCGTCATCTCTTCTAAGCACTCCATCAGCCTCAAGGGCATCGTCGCCGCAAGGAAGCGATGTTAGTAGACGAAGTACAAGAAAACAAAGAGGCGGTAAGACACATAAGAGTAAAAGAGGAGGTTTATCTAACGCATATTCGCGCAGGGGTTACAACCCACAAGCAGCAGATTACCATGAATCTGAATATCATTACGGATCAGATTTCGGTGATGAATTTAGCGATAGGTCAGAACATGAAGATGATCGTGCGAGCGATAGTTCTGAAGGTACTGTTGGAGATGGTGCCGCTAGTGATAGTGACTTCTCTGTAAGCAGTTATAGTACTTCAGGAGGTACACCCAAAAAGGTCAGCGCTAATGTTCGAGCTCCAAGTCCTGATCCATTATGGTTACAGGAAGAACGACAAATACCACCTTTAGAGCTTCCCTCTTCCTCTGATGATTTGATAATACCACAGGCATTAGTACTACAAGTTGTGGGCATATACGAAGTACTTCGACATTTTCGTCATCTCGTGAGGCTATCTCCATTTCGTATCGAAGATCTGTGTGCAGCTATAAGTTGTGAAGATCAAAGTAATTTACTTGTTGAAGTTCATATAATGCTTTTGAAGGCCTTATTGAGAGAAGAGGATGCCCAACAAACTCATTTCGGTCCTTTGGACCATAAAGATAGTGTGAACATTACTTTATTTTTATTAGATGTTATGACATGGCCCGAGGTCCTTAGGATTTATGTGGAAAGTGACAAGTCTTTTGACCAAAATGTTGTTAAGATTGTGAATTCATGCGAATATCCTTTTACATGTGTAGAAGACAGAGTTGTGGTGTTGCAATTCTTATGCAATCAGTTTTTAATAACAAATCCAGTTCGAGATGATCTGCTTAGTGAAGGTAAGACAGGATTATATTTATAATTTAATTTAATTTATTGTGAATCTTTATTATATCAGCAACAATACATGAGCCCAATTGTCTGATTTTAAAATCAATATAAATCTGAAAAGGATTTCAATAGATTGGACATTTGAAAGATTTTACTTTAAGTTACTGAGTTTTATATTGTTTCTTGATCATTCAAATCATAATTTCTTCTGAAACCATTATGACTTTAAACATTTCAAAATTCCGTTAATTGCTTTCACATTCGCATCATTTGAAAAAGATTATGTTAAATTATGTAATTATAATAGTCTAATTCACTCACAGGTTCTTTATTTTATATTGACATCAGTTCACAGAATTACATTAAATAACAATTTGGAAGTTCGGTTTTAATTATAAATATTTGTTATTTCATACACTCTTTCAGTGATGCACAAAATTTTAAAAAGAGTTAAACATTTCACGTCTAATACAGTTGTATTCACTTACATGATTGTTATGCAGTTAAACATAAAAACAAGATGCTTCACCTTATATTAAGTAACCGTACATATGTTGTTGCTATTTTTTGTACATATACAATATATGATATGAACATGCATTTTTAATATATATTTAGTAATATTAAGAAAATGTTTAACATAATTATGCCTTACCTGTATGCTGAGTTTGTTTTGCAAAAGATCTGATGTTCCACTTTGACCACAGGAAAATTTTTGTTTATACCCCATTTTTAATATAGAATTGTCACTGCTATGAATGAATGGATGCATTTATATGTCTATCAAAGATAAAATTAATAGCCAGAAACCAGGTTTAAGAAAGGTGGTATTAAAAAAGGGAAATGAACTGTGGGGTTGGTTATTCTAAATTGATCTTTGGTTTTGATAAAAAGTACCAATAAAAATTGCAAATATAAAAAGGAAATATCTCAAATATATTTTTTTTGTTACAATAATTCTATTTTTGTTCCAATCAGTCTGTTAGACACAATTTAAAAGTTTAAAATATAAGAGGTATTTATCTAGAAAATCATAAAAATATTTAAACAAACATGATATATGAACAAATAAATTATATAATACTATTAATGATAATATGAAACATAGTATTAGTTAAATGCTCTCATTATTTATGCTAGTTCTTTAACTTCTCTTAAACTTTACAATAGTTTATTGTATGCTTTACGAAAAGTTGCTATTTACTTTAAAATTTTTCATTTGTGATGTTAATATCCAATCAGTTCAGGACAAATGATGTCCAAAGGACAGCATAGTTGTATGCCATAGATCATAACAAACTTGTGCTTGCCAACCTGGTTTGGCATCAAAATTAGTGGCAGGCAGTTACATATGGTAAACCTGTCGAACATATGTATACCTTGATTATTACCTCTAGAGAAAAACTTTAACTTAAATTAAAAACTGCATTGATTGAGAGAAAATAACTTATTGAGTTGTATTTCTCATTTAAGGCATGTCTTTGAACAAGGTTGTTTTTAATTTTTCTATAGTAATAAAATATTTTACTATTATATTTAAAAACAATATTATAGTCATATTGATTTTTCAGTTCCTATACACTATGATGATCACTGCCGTGTATGTCATCGTTTGGGAGATTTATTGTGCTGTGAAACCTGCCCTGCTGTATTTCACCTGGAATGTGTGGACCCTCCACTAGTTAATGTACCATCTGAAGATTGGCAATGTGCACTTTGTAAGCTGCATAAAACAGTTGGTGTTACTGATTGTCTTCCTGATGCTGAGAAACAAGGTCTGCTTTGTCGTCATGAGCATCTAGGATTTGATAGACATGGGCGAAAATATTGGTTCATTGCTCGTCGATTGTTTATGTAAGTAATTCATATATTTTCTTATTTATTTCCAAATCCTTCATCAAGTGGTAATAGTTTCATTGCGCTCCGTCACGACGGCAAGGTATTTCACTAGAGAATGTGACACTGCTCAGCTTATCCACTGTATGAGCAGATTGCGAACCAGAGACATGGATATTTAAGAAGGTAATTAAAGCACTATGCGCCGCTTTAATGGAGGTTCATCCCTAATTTAAAAAAACAAATAAGTACGGAATTGATAGTTTGATGTAGCCAAAGAACATTTTCATTAAATTTCAATGCATTGCAAAACCTTATTATGTATGATATAAATCCCTTTTTTAGACAAGTATGTGTAGACGTGTTTCTACGCAGATCGTTTTGTAACTTTGGCGGCGATTTTGTATTAACTTCTGTATTATGGGGAGCATACTAGGTTCCATGGTATACTGAGAATTGAGGTCTGTAGAGAAATACCGGATTCTCTGGATTTATTAGAATTAGACTTAATAAATATAAATAAAGTCCTAATTATAAGGGGTAGAATTGAGTCGAGACATTGGGAGGAAACAATATTATGTGTACATTTTAATAAATAATTACACATCCGGGTTAGATGGCATATGAGAACACTGCTGTAATTGTTTTATTGGTCGATGTACACTGGGATGCTGCGCTCATATAATGACCATAGTTTGGTATCTTGGATGGGCCAGACATGAACAGAATGTAGCTCCTGCAGCATTCCGTGATGAGGTATTCATTAGAGTTGTAATAAAGAAAAGAAAAATCAACATGTTGTTTTGCTATATCCTTTTGACATTAGTATTTTCACTACTACTTTATATTAGTTATAGTGTAAGATGGAAAAGTAGAGTTATTGGAGCAATCTTAAAAATTCTATTTTTTTTTTTATGTTCATTGGATCACAAAAAATGATTTTATTTCTTACAGTCAATAAAAATAATATATCAGATATGGAGCAAGTTTGAAGTATTATGTGAAAGTATGCACTTCTAGGACCACGATTAGGCATTATCTGACGTGTGCTTCATATATTTCAACTGTAATACCTCTAACTTAAAATGCTACAGTTTAAATAATACGACATAACCTCAAATACATATTACACAATTACTCGATACTCCCAGCTTTTAAAAATATATTTAATGTCTTTCTTTGTTCTAGTTGCATAGACAAATAAAATAACATATGTTTCATCAAGTTACGTTTTATTCGATTTTACTAGTCCAAGCATGTTAGGCAGATGGCCATTGTTCTTTAATGATATGTGGAAAAAATTATAAGTAATGTATTATATACATATATATAACATAAGGCTGAGTGGAGTTTGGCCGCAAACTGAATGCCAGCGGACGCGGTGGCGGGTGGCGCGTCTTTCCATTTTGTACAAGGCCCGAACGCAGTGGTATGAAACTAATCGCGTATACCTATACGCATAAATCACTTTTACTAAGGTCTTTCAATCTATACAAGACTAGTACGCAAATATTCGCTTATACTTCATAGTGACCCAACTTGTTAGCTTGTTCCATAATATACTTTACCAGTACGCATAAGGACTAATCGTGTATCCGTCCAGTGGTTTGGGCTGTGCGTTGATAGAACACTATGTCAGTCAGTCACCTTTGAGTCTATATATATAAAAATATATATAACTACAAACCATTGGACGGATCGGGCTCAAATTTGGCATGCAGGTAGATGTTAGGACGTAGGCATCCGCTAAGAAAGGATTTCGATCATTTCTACCCCCAAGGGGATAAAATAGGGGATGAAAGTTTGTATGAAACTTTGTCAATTTTAAACCGATCGGGCTGAGACTTTGCATGCATAAAGCTAATATGACGTAGGCATCCCCTAAGAAAGGATTTGGATAAATTCCACGCCTAAGGGGATATGATTGGGGATGGAGCTTTATTTCAGGTATTTTACATGATATAATGAATTAATTGGTTAGAAATGCTGCTCAAAGTAACTTTACCACGCGGACGAAGTCGCGGGCAAAAGCTAGTTATATATATTTAGATAAGTGCGATCCCTAAACTCCAATCTGTACGTGAGCAGCCCTAAACTCGAATTCGAATTCACTCAGGTGTCCGAATTCACTTCAAAAAGCGGCATCCGTTAAATCTTGAAATGGTAATAACCAATTCATATCCACTAGGAATAGAATATTTGAGACACGTATAATCTATATATTTTGTTTTGTGTTTTTAAACAAAAATGGAATCAATATATTTTCTTCACTAAATGACGTGAGTTCGGATGCATCGGTTTCGGATTCTTACAGAATTGCCTTGCAGATTCCAATGTATCCATAGACTATTGATAATGTTATAATGTCAGAACAGTCACCAACCATTTTAAGTTGCAGCGATACTGAAAATTCCGTTTTCATTGAATAAATGTAGAACTCACTGAATTGAAAGAAGATATCAATAATTTAACGTGGTCAAATTTGAAAGCTGTGTGCAAAATGTATTAAGCTTTCAAATGCTCTGAAAAATGTTGGCACAGACCAACAGGCCCAAAACATTATATTCAGTAATTTCAAAAAAGGACTGTACCGCGAGATACGTGTTCATCCAACAACTGTATAAAACGAAAAAAGACGACGTAAAGCAAGATACAAGGATACAGGATCAAAAAATAATAGAAAAAGGATACACGAATTTGCATCTAACATTTCGAAATACTAATAACACGTGCTAATTAATACTTAGGAAAACTGTAATGATAATTAATGCTTTTTAAATAAAAATATAACAACCAACACAGGTGTGGTAGTTAGTCGGCCCAACAAAAAAGGCTACTGGAGATGTCAGGCGTAAATTATCTATATATAATTCTTACGTTACTGAGTGTCTGACTGACAACGTACTACTTAGCGTAGAAAGTTGAAATTTGTACTAAGAGAGGATTTTTGAAAATTCCATCCTGAAGGGGCTAAATTAGAAATAAAAGTTTAAATGAAACTTCGTTAATTCAAGTGCTAGGAGTTTCAAAGAACAATGGCCATCTACCTAACATGCTTGGACTAGTAAAATCGAATAAAACGTAACTTAATGAAACATATGTTATTTTGTTTGCCTATGCAACTAGAACAAAGAAAGACATTAAATATATTTTTAAAAGCTGGGAGTATCGAGTAATTGTGTAATATGTTTTGAGGTTATGTCGTATTATTTAAACTGTAGCATTTTGAGTTAGAGGTATTACAGTTGAAATATGTAAAGCACACGTCAGATAATGACTAATCGTGACCCTAGAAGTGCATACTTTTACATAATACTTCAAACTTGTTCCATATCTGATATATCATTTTTATTGACTGTAAGAAATAAAATCATTTTTTGTGAACCAATGAACATCAAAAAAGAAATATAATTTTTAAGATTGCTCTCAATAACTCTACTTTTCTATCTTACACTATAACTTATATAAAGTAGTAGTGAAAATACTAATTTCAAAAGGATATAGCAAAACAACATGTTGATTTTTCTTTTCTTTATTACAACTCTAATGAATATGAGCACTATGAGCAGCTACATTCTGTTCGTGTCTGGCCCATCCGATACCAAACTATAGTCATTATATGAGCACAGCATCCCAGTGTACATCAACCAATAACACAATTACAGATCTGTCATTATTTTTTAAAATGTACACTTAATATTGTATCCTCCCAATGTATCGACTTAATTCTACCTCTTGTAATTTGGACTTTATTTATATTTAAGTCTAATTCTGATAAATCCAGAGAATCCAGTATTTCTCTCCAGACCTCGATTCTATACTGCCCATGGAACCTAGTATGCTCCCCATAATACAGAAGATAATACAAAATCGCCGCTCAAGTTACAAAACGGTCTGCGTAGAAAGAAACACTTCTACACATACTTGTCTAAAAAAGGGAGGTCGCAATCAATTGAATACTGTAATATCGATTCTTATGAATAATCATTAGTTTTTAATTTCATTATAAATAAACTATATTCGTCTAAGTAACATCTAATTATATTAGTAATCTAATCTAAGTTTTATAATTTTCACGGATTTATATGATTAGTAAATAATATAAGATTTGTATCAGATTCGTGAGAAACAAAATCGATCTTGTTCTTTGAAAAGAGAGGGACTTCTCTAGGAATGACATTATTAATAAGATGCGTTCATAAATAACATAATTTAAACTGTGTTCTAAAAAATAAAGACATATTTTAGAGAGGATTATCTTTCTTTTCCCAGCTTTTAAAAATAAATTGTTGGTATACAATAATTACATTCAACTTATACTACATTTTGATGATAGTTTCATCTTGGTACAAGAATTTTTTTTTTCGTAGTCCATTTTGTTTTGCATGCGGGTCCTTTTTAGGACGTTAGTGCTCACTAAGACGGGATTTTACGAAATTAGGGGATGAAAGTTTTTTGGGAATTTTCTCATTTCTGGACTTAAAACTAGATCATGCGGGCGAAGTCACGGGCAAAAGCTAGTGTAATATAGTTAGGAACCTAGGCGCGTATTCATGTTACGAAGTATGCACGAACAGTACGCAAATTGAAACCATTGATTTTAAAATGACTTCACAATATATACGCGACCATTTTCCTATGGCTGCGTTTTGGCCTTGTATAGATAGGAAAGACGCGGTGGTGGCAGTAGCGACCGCGGTGCAATATGCGATGCGTACGACTTGATAGAAATGCTTAGTTTGTATGAACCGTTCAAGACGGTGAACAACAAACGTCGCTTAGCTTGGCGAATCCGCGTCTGACTGGTTATAGTGATGTTTAGTACAGTTCAAACTAATTTAAAACGTTATCGACATTTAAATATAAACATTTCATGCTCAGGGACTCATTTGAAATAAGAATGGGCAGGTTCCCCGCGTCGCTATCGACACCGCTATCGCGGCCGCGGGCGACCAGTACGAGGCCTCATGCTTTAATATAAGTTTTGCAAAAAAAAAATTGCATGAAATTTATGTGCATCGATAACATGACACTTCTTCAATTCGTGTCTTGAGAGTGTTTTAATTAGTTTTTTGAGAAATTACAAATTTGACATACCCAACCATACCACATTTATGGCCCTAAGAAAACTTGCGCCTTTAACCTCCTCGTGGTAATCTTTAGAGCTTTAATTTCAGTACACTTTCTTTTGTTGCACTAAGTTCTGATAATACTAATTAAATTGTCACCATTTGATTGTAGTGAAGCTGAAAATGGTGAAGTTTGGTATTACTCTTCTCCCCCTCAATTTGATGAACTACTAAATATGTTAGATGCTCATGAAATGGAAGCACCATTAGTCCGAGAACTTATGGAAATGAAACAAGAAATACATAGACAAATGGATATAACAGAACGATTAACTAACCAATCGAAGGGTAACCGTAAGTCATACTTGGAAGTAGAAAATGCTAATATTTCTAAGAAAAGAAAAGAAAAAAGTCTTAAACCACATGGACAAAATATGGCTATAAAATTAGATGATAAAATTGAAACAGAAATATCAACAACTGATGAAGATGTCGTAAGCGAAGTGACAGTAACTAGTGAAGATACTACAAACATTAATAACGACGAAAATCAAGATACAAATGATGATGATGATGTGAAAAAAAATAAAAACAATCTAAGTAAACTTAAAGCTATGAACTCGAAGAAAACGGAAGATGGTAAGTTAATTAAAGATTGTGAATAACTTTTTCTAAAATATATGTTTTCTTGTTATATTATTTTTATTTTACTTTTAAGTTACAGAAAGAGTGACACGTCAGAAATCCAGTCAAATATCTAATGGGACATATTTCTTCAAACTGGGAAATGAAAATTCATTCAAAAATTATGTTAATCAATACTCTAGTAATCCATTAGCCTTGAATAAACCTCAGCGGAATGAAGAAAGAGATAAGAAACGGTACATGTCTCATAAATTTTCTTTATCATCATCTCAAGAGTTTAAATGGATTGGTCTTTTAAATGGTAAGCTTTTTTATTGTTTTTAGATTTAATTTCTTAAGAAAATTTACTGATATAATATGGTTATTGAAAATTTCGCAAACAATATTTTAAAATATTTTTTTAGCTACAAAGCCTCTACTGGTGGCAACATTAAGACAAACCTTACTTCAATTGGAATCTAATATTGTTATACAATTTATGCATCCTAATTGGTCTCTCTTGCGGAAACCTTGGGTACAAGCTGTACAACTGTGTCAAGCGCCTCGGGATTTTGCAAGGGCTCTCTGTGTGCTTCAGGTTAGTATTTGACAGTATAGTAAGTTCCTGTTCCTTGAAAGACAAAATTGTTGCATAAAAATATTGTCTATAACATAATATTTCTTTTAACCTCAGGCATGCATAAAAAGTGCAGTATTTGTACCAGCCTGGCATGAACAACTTGGACATGTCAAACTTATAAGAACCACAGCATCTGAGCGTGAAGAACGAAAAAAGCTTGATAAAAGAGAGAAAAAAGAAAGAGATGAAGAAGAAGAGCGATATAGAACAGCTTATAATTTTGTTAAATATTCCCTTGGACTTCGGCATCAGGTATAATAATAATGCACTTGCTCATTTTTAGGCTGAATAAAAGTAAACTTCCCTAAGTTGAATTTAGTCAGTAATTTATTGTAATAAGTGTTGTGAGTTGATTCAGGAGTTAAGTTATATTGGTTTTTATAATATTTGCAAGACTGCTGATGTCTTGATTACCATCACATAAAGTAGTGTTTATTGGAGATTCGTATGATATTTAGTTTTGCATTTGAAATAATAATAATAAAATTTCAGGCATGGAAACAAAAAGGCGAAGAATATAGGATTCATGGACAATGGGGTTGGTTATGGAACTCTTCCACTAGAAAATTCAAAAAGCATAATACTGTCACTAAACCAAACATTTCCTGTGGCCCTGCTAAGATAGCTGTGAGAGTCAGAGAAGGAAATGTTATTAAAGTTCTAGCAGTAGAGCCTAAAACATATGAATATTTAATGTCTAATGACACTGCAGATACAGATGTTTTGGAAAAATGTAAGTAGATGATACACTATTGATTTCTGCTTTGAATGTGCCTTACTCAGTTATTATAATATTCTTTGTGTTTATTTGTAGTACCAACATCTATGAGGAATTTATCTGTTGAAAAAGACGATGAAGATTTTGAAGAAATTGATGTTGAAAAAGCTTTAAGTTCTTCTACCAGAAGATATTATCCTAAGATAGCGAGAAAATCGAAATTGGATGATTTTCTAACACGTCGAACCTATTTGAAATTTATGGAGGAAAAGAAAATCGCAAATTTATTGACTAAGGTGAAAAAAGAAGATTTAGATATCAAAAGTGAAGATGACAAAAATATAGATGTGGAAAACGATGAGCCTGATAATGATTTACCACCAGTCTGCGAGAGTGGTAATGAGAAGAAAACTGGTACATCTAAAACAGTTGATGCTTTGAGAGATGAATATCAAAAACTGTCTCAGTTAACTAAACATTACAAATGTTACTCATCAAGTTGTAATAATATTGAACCATCTACATTGTTGCAAGGATCAGGTGTTAAAGTTAAGTGCTATTCACCTTTATGTATCACTAAGGGGAAACTTCTGAATGAACTATTAGTTGTATTGAAATGTAATACTAGTAATTCTAACAGTTTACTTTCAAATTCTAAAGATCAAAATAAAGTATCAATTTTAGAACAGTATTTATTGGGGAAGACAGTGGCAGCAGCTCAAAATTCGAAAGAAAACATACTCTCTGATTTATTATCAGCAGTTGCTTGTGCCCAAGAGTGTGACAATAAGAATTCCGATTGCTTTGTTAAAAGAAAGTTTAGTGAAGACTGTGATGTTTCTGTAAAGACAGAAAAAGATGATGATATGTCTCTTCTTAAATCTGAAAGCACTTTAGAAGAGTCAGCCGTGCCTGCTGTTGGCAATGAGATGGATATAGATATAACTTCAAGCAATAATGAAGAAAATGAAGTTGAAATTGGACCTTTGAAAGAGCTCACAGATGGAGATCAGCAGTCAGAAAATGTTGACTCTGAACAATCACGACCTCCAATACCTAAACTGAAAATAACTAGAGGAAAATCTAAACCTGCAGGTAATTCATCTAATGGAACGCACGGTGAGGTTAAGGATCCTTCTTATAAATGTTCTGTAACAACAGCTGATAACGAAGAAAAAGCGAAATATCGTGCGACTGTTAATAGACGTTTTGGTCTCATAAGACCTAAGAGGGATGAGAAAACGGTTAAAGTAGAGAAAACGGAGAATGGTGTAATAAGAATTTATTCTGCAGAAAGTCCATGTGGTAAACTTTATCTGAAGAGGGTGCAGACATCTGCTGTAGAAAAGAAAAAGAAACGAACACCTGTGAAGTATCCATTATGTTCAACATTCCATACCAGAAGTAAAGCAAAAACTGTCATGGTATTACCACATCATGAATTAAGGAAACTTAGTCGGCAAGCAGGACACAGTGCTGTGACAGGATTCAGTCACAATGCTAAACCCAATCAGAGTGTGTGGCCCTATCCTTGCGCCAGACCTCTATTTAAAACGTGTTGGTTATATCGTACTGTTAATTTACAATGGTTAGCTAGTGCCGCCCTTCAACTACGAATAATGTGGGCTTGCTTGCGATGGGACGACATGTCTGCTAAACCAGCTACTGCTGACGGTAAACATCAACTGACTACAGACACAGAAATAGTTTCTCTTGAACTGTTAAAACATCGACATATAGGACAGTTCTCTGAACGTACACAATATTTGAGACGGCGTGTTGTTATCCCTCTTGAATTACCAAAAACTGTTCGTGAGGTAACATCAATTCGAAGCGGTTTACGGAAAAGAAAACGAGCTGAATCACCCCAGAATACAGAGCCTCAGGTAATATTTTAATATAAAATATAGTCTGCTATTTTTTTTTACTTGATCTGTTCCGTACAATACAAAATAAATCTTAAAACCGCATTTTCAATCAATTACCATCAACTTATTGATTAAGCATTTTTAACATATTTGATAGAGCAACACATGGATTCATTCATATTCATTTAATTTTTATTGGTGGCAAAGGAAAAGGTTTATTGAATAGAATATAATGAGCTTATTATATGCGAATGGATAACTTTTCATTGCTATTATGTTATAATTTTTTGCTATAATTATTATTTTTGGTTATCAGGTCTCTGAAGAATGGGTGGATGAAGACAAACTAGAACTGTGGGAAGTCCGCCAATATGGTGAAAGAACTGAACGTGTAACTCCTGTAACACGCACTTCTACCGGTAAACTGCCACAGCGTACGCCGGCACCACCGCCACCCAATGCATCCGACCTCAAAGATAAGATGGAACAACAATTACGTGAACAAAGGGCCGCTCATCAACAAAAAAGAGCACTCGAAATGTCACAAGGTACTATACGTTTTTTATTACTGACAACCACTAATAAGAATACTATACTAGTCATGGTTCGCGAAAATCAAAAAAATATAATAATATAAATTTCTGAGCTGCTAGTGGTTTTAATTTATATTTAAAATCAAAAGTGTAAAAAAAAATGTGGTCAATTTAATATTTATCAAAAAATAATAAAAAAGTAGATTGCGTGCGAGGATTCCCTGTAACGTATGAGGAAAAGCTCGAAATTACTAGTAAGTAAGATTACTGTGTTACACATGCAAACTAACAAAAAAAAAAATTATAAACATCAATCGATATATATCCGTTGATATTTATTAACATACTCTGCTACTAATTATGCGCATATTTTTTATTGTTAAATAATCAAGATCATTCTTATGTTACAGATAAGGCGAAAACACCAGCACAAAATTCTGGCAAAAGTACACTAACATCATTGTTGACCACAAACGCTTCGACACCGACTGGTCAAAAAACCATTATAGGAACGAGGCGAATCATCATGACGAAGGGAGCCGATGGCTCGACACGTGTCATAAGTCAGCCCGTAACCGGAACTTCGAAGCCTGCGGTGGAGAGTCCGGCTACGAATAAAGTTACAGCCACTCCGCAGAAAGAGGGACCGCAAAAAGTTCAGATCATTCGCGCTCCCGATGGTAAAATAACAGTCCGAGGCTTACTGGCGGGTCAACAACTGCTTCAGATGCCAGACGGAAAGTTGCACATAGTGATGGCTGGTCAGCAGACCTTAGCCGGTCAACTGGTGTCCACCGCCACGGGAATCAAGGCTGCTGAACTGACACCCGACAAGGAAGATCGAAATGTGAATCAGATAAAAAATGTGAACGAAGAAAACAAACAGACGGCGTCGTCGCGTCTAGCGTCGACTGGACAACAAATTTTAATGCAAGGCAATAGACAGCTGGTGATGCAGCCACAACAGGTGGTCGTGCAACAGCAGCAGCAAGTAGTGGTGGCGCCGCCGCAGCAGGTGGTGGTCCAGGCGGGTGGTCGCGCCCCGCCCCCCCGCTCTCCCCTCCACACGGTGCTAGTGCAAGGCCAACTGTTACCGCGCCCCGCTACGCCCGCCGCTGCCCCCTCCCCCGCGCCGATAGCACGCACCACCACCCCCCGCCCGCGCCCCCCTGCCACGCAACAGATCGTCGTCAACAACCCTGCGCTGGTCCAGCAAATAGCCGCTGGCAAGATCCAGCTGGCTACGGTGAACGGCCAGCAGGTGTTGATCCGACCGACAGGCAACAATCAAGCGCAGATCGTAGCTCACATAGGCCAGAGCCCGGCGCCAGCCCCCGCGCCCGTCCCAGTCCCCGCCTCCGCCCCCGTCCCCGCCCCCGCACCGATCGTGCGGCCCGCGCCCGCTACCCCCCAGCAACAGCAGATCCAGCAAGTGCAACAGACACAACACATGACCGAAGATGAGATTGTAGAAAAGAGACTTTTGGTCGGTCAGCCGCCCGGTACAGTTATCAAAACTGTTACTGCGCAGGTAATTTTTTTATTCGTCCTTTATTGCGTCTCGATTATACGCAATTTCAATCCCGATTATTATATTGTTTAAATTTCATTCTCCAGGTTATGCAGACTAGCAGCGGCCCTAGTATAGTTTTGCAGGGTCTTCATGGATATTCTCTTACGCCTCAACAATTGGCGTTAGTTCAACATCAAGTGAAACAACAATTACTTAAAGGTGAGATAGATAGATAGACAACAAATTAGATAATTAAATTAAACGATTTTATGACCGGCACTTCACATTATAATCCAGTATATAATGTATTTGACATTATTATCCATAGGTCGCTGGTTCATGTCCGGCCGGAAGGACCAAATGATGTATGGCAATGAATGACCACACACCGAGATTATATTGAATCAAAATTTTATATTATTTAATAACTAATATAAAACTTTTACTGCGTAATGAACTGTAATTTAAATATTATATGACGACTCGCGACTTTACACTATCTTTAACTTAAAATGATGACTATACCAATCTAATTTAGGTCGTAGGAACGTACATGATAGGTAATAAACCGATATTTCTGGTAAGATTTGCTAACGATATTTGATGACCATAATCTTTATCTTACTTATTTTTGTATGTTCATTTAGCGTTATAACATTAAACCGTATCAAGTACAAGCTCGGTGGCGTAGTGGATAAGCGTCGTGGCCGGCGATCGTTCTTGTTAAGTTGTTGAGCGACTTTCGCAAGGATCAGTCACAGGATGGGTGACCAAAAAAAGCGTTAGCTACTCCGTGCTTTGACAGGCACGTTAAGCCGTTGCATTTCCGGTCGTTAATACCCTCCAACCCGCATTGGGTCAGCGTGGCGGATCTGTCCCATCTTCCTTGGCCGTACATAAGGCTGGTGATGATGATGATGAAAACAAGCACACTTGGGCACAAAAATATACAATTATGTGCCTCACTGATGTAGAAGAGTCAATTTCGAAACGCGGCGAATGAATGCCAATAAAATGATTCAAGTACCACGGCCTCGAGCGAGGCGAATGAGACGGACAGATAATGCATTGTATTTTACACCTTATGGTCGTTATAACAAAACTCATTGTAAATTACAATCGTACGTTCGTACGAAAGTGACATGTCTGTCGTCTGCCCGTATTAGGTTTTGCTGTATTTATTGTTATTGATGAGATCTTTTTGAACGGGCAAAGTTTTCAATAATAAATACTCTAATAAATTGTCCCTAAAAACTTTAAAGTATTTGTCGATTTCAATTTGGTTTTCCTAATATAAAATTCACGTTTTAGCACAAGAATCGACTGGTAAACAAGGCATGCTGGGACCTAGAAAAATGTACTTAGCAGTACAGCCTGCTCCTACAGCGCCGCCACCACTGACCCCGGTGGTACCGCAGCAGTTACAAACGATGCCTGTTCCGCAACAGGTAATCTATTACTATTAGGTATATTAGGAAATATGACTGAAATCTGCTACAAAGACCTTTGTTGTATAATAAAATGTGATATTTTTTTCCTAGATTTTTGATCTTTCAAACATTGATCACTCCAAACGATTTTATCTTTATATTGTTCTATTTTAATTGATAACCATAACATAACTGTCACAGCCATATCGCATAACACGCCGTATTTTAAAATGCCACACCTAATTAAAAAACACTGTCGTTTTGTTATGCGATCGTTTTTCGATGAGCCAACTTTCAATTCATCTGAAATAAAGTATGGCGCATTGTACGAGCACATCGCGTTTGTTAAATCGGCTTAGTAACGTAATGCCCACATAAAAACGGGCGCAAGCAGCGCTGTGCAATAACTACGGTGTTGTTATGAGCATGCATGTTATTAGACAAAAAATAGATCACATATTGTTTTTATAAATATAATAGATGTAAACTTAATCATTCTTTCTGTAAAACAACGCAAAGAGTAAACAACTTACTGAACTTGGTTAAAAACACGCTTTGCTAAAGCGTGTTTTTTATATTGATTGTAGAAATAATATGAATATTTTATGATTTCGTAAATGTTTCGCCGCAACAATAACATTCAACGTAAAATTAGCCGCATTACAAAACTGCGAAGTTTTTTTTTTAAATTGGGCGCGCTGATTAATTACATGGCGTATTTATTATACAGTATGACTGCGACATCAGTACTAAGTTTCACTATTCTTCTAATTTGTAGAGGTGGGCAAAATGTAATTAATCCTAAATATTATACATTATTTAAAATTATGATTACAATTTGTAATCTTCAGTCCAGAGTTTACTAAATGTAATCATTAATTAGGACTACATTAGGCCTATCTCTAATAATATTTTAATTACTGAAGCAATATGCAGTCGTGTAAATGTTTAAGAATAGAGATGATGACTGGTAAAATTAATTATAAAAAAACAATCACTTTGATATACCTGAGTATTCGAAGTCTGTAATCTTTACGGTGGGAGCGAATAAAAGCTTAAACTCCCTCAAAATTAATTTAAATATACCTTTCGAGTCTAATTCAAGTCATCATCTTTATAATAAGAGATACTTTGATTTCGAATTAAGTAGGCTATGAATCACAAGAGTTCTTGAATTTGAAACAGCCTTTTTTATACAATATTTAGTCATGTTGAAAACTCATATTGGCTATATAAATATTTTTATTTGCATACAATGAGGGTCTTAGTTGGCAGTCGTAGTAGGAGCTCTAGAACTGAAAAACTGTAATATATTTAAAATTGTGGAAATATGTCTATTTTAATGTCTCCATGTCATTTAAATTTCTCTAAATTGCATTTTCCCGTAATTTTATGGTTGGTGTATATGTAAAGAACAACAGAGTACTTCCATAAAAATTTTTGCTGGTTTAATTTTCATGTGTCAATAACTAAAAAATATTAAATTTTTACTTTCGGACCAGTAAGTTTGGCTTCAAAAAGTCTGGAAAATATATTTGAAGAATCTTTCTGTTTTTTTTTTTTAATTCAACATATTGATAGAAGCTGGCTGAGCAACTTTCTAAATATTTCTTACTTTCTTTTTTCAACTTCCGTTTACAGTTGTTAGGTTTACTGCTTTTCTTTTTACACTATCTTGAGGACAATAGATTGAAAGCGTCATGATTCATGATTCTAAAGGAGTTTAGTTTAGTAAAACTATGCTAGTTTGTGCTTTTTTGTACTAAAATCGACAAAATGTTTAAATAACATTGTCTTTTACAGTTTCTTTTTTCCAGACTTTTAGTGTATTAACTATAATGGTTGACGTTAAAGAATTCTTTTAGCAATAATTTCATATTTATTTAGTTGATAATTAACCCTTTCCTTGCTAAATAAACTTATAAAGTTATTGATTATCATTCGATACAGTAAAATAAAATTATGAAAACAGCATATCAATTTCCTTATATTACTGAATAGAATTTACCGATGTATGAAATTGATAGCATATATTATTATATATTATTTATTGATATATATTATTTTTCAAAATAAGCTATAAAAATATTATAAACTTCAAATAAATAAATTAAGTACGTTCGGATATACACGCTGTTACGTTAGTCAAATGGTACTATATACTAGGTGCGATTATTAATATTGAAATGAAGAATTCATTTGTTAGATTATGGTATTTTAACGTTTGCATAATATATCTTTCTACAACAATATATAGTACACTGATCCGAAATTTATTGCTATATATATTTTATTGTACGGTTGGCAACCCTAATAACAAAACAAAACGCAACTTATTGTATTGCCATATAAGATCTACAAACATTAATTTGCATATGTTTCAAGCTTAAACTTCAAATCATATAAAACGTATGACCCGCATAAATCTTAACTTTTTACATGGACAATTCGCATATTTTGCATATTTCTTATAACATGATGTTATTATTACCTAGTGTATACTTCGTAATGAAAGGGTTAATTTCATTTAATAAGTTGTTCAAATAATTGTTATTTCGGTTATATTAATGTTATTTGTCATAATTTAGCCAGTGTTTCGTGTATAAGTATTGTCGTTCCCAGCGATAAAAGAGCAATCACAATAATTTATTTATTGTACTAAAAATACACCAAAGATATGGACCTAAGTCTTAGTAGTATGTGTGAATAATGTAATACTTAATTGATATTATAAGTTTTAGAAGTAACGTTAACTGATTAATAAAATAGAATGCTTAAGATAGACGATTCAATATAGTTTAACTAAAAGTCATTTTTGTATTAGATTATTTATATTATTTTAAAAATTATTAATGAATATTTCAAAGCTAACAAATCGTGATTAATAGAACTTTTTAAAATATATTTCCATCTGGTAATGTCAAGCGTAAGTTCAGTAATTGATGTCGTCGTAGGATTTATTTTAATAAAATATAACCAATTTCTCAACTAGTAAGAGTTATGTTGCGTTAAGTACGTCCATTATTAAGGCGCGCGTACACAGTAAGCAACGCGAAGTCGATTGGCCATTCCTAATTATATTGTTTTTTATTCTAATCTCATTTAAAATTTAATAGATAAAGCACACTCAATATCACGAGATGTTAAACATTGAATTAATAAAAAATCACGCTTACTGCATATGCGCGCTTGTTTGTTATTATTTTAATATTTACGCATTATAAACTCTTTTTTGTTTTAATCTTAGTCATAAATTTTCCAAATTTTATATTGTTAACATATAAGCGTCGATCAACATTGTTGATTGACACATATAAGATTATGTTAACTAAATTTAGTTTATATTATCCTATTTATTAATGAATAATACAAAAATTGCTCATACACCACCTGTCAACAGTTACATGTAATGAATAATTACGATTTCTATATAAATTACTCGTGCAATATTTATACCTTAATAAATCTACTGCATTTAATATCGACTTTCATTTCAAACCAGGACCTGTTTTTAAATTTTTTGTTATATTATTTTTATCATGAACGTTTTGTGGGGGTGTATGGGCAATCAATATTGCAATTTATAGTAAAAATTTAAAACATATAATACAAATAGGTTGAATCATTTATACAGGTTAAAAAAGTAATATTAATACATAATGTCACAGATATATTCCCACAAACGATACATATATTTGTTTTTTCAGTTATTTTTCTCATTCTTTCAATATTTTTAGTTTTTTTTTATTTAATCTGATTATAAATTAAGTAGTTTGTTACTTTTATTTGACACAGTTTGTGTCTTTTTTTTATTTATAGGATATTAACGAAGAAGCCTCAATTAAACATCAACCCCTTCTAAACGGTGAAGATAAAGTAGCTGAAGCAGCTAGCCACAAGGAGGCTATTCCCTCCAAACTAGAGGATATACGGGAAAATAATACTAAAACCGATATAATTAATTCTGCACAGGACGGAATACAGAGTAACAAGTTCGTGCTCACTCCCGATTACATACAACAAAGTAAGTAAAGTTTAAAGATTGTTTAATGCATTTTAAAAGTAATCAAACAGTCTGAATATTATATTGAGAAGCTTCATTATATGTTGTCGATTCATTTCAGCTATCAAGAGCGCTCTCAAGCAGGAGAATTTAAATCCCGAGATCGAGGAGAAACTGTTGCAATTGCAGCGGTACCAAGAGAAACGTATGAAACCGGACGCGCCAGTAGAGAGGGAAGTGAGAGCGGTGGCAGTTGCAGCGCAATCGCCGTCCCCGCCGCCGCGCCGCCGCGCCACCTCCTCGCGGCACGACGACGACGACGAGTGGGTGGAGAGCAGCCCGCGCAAACGATCGCGACCACCCCGCGCGCCATCCCCGCCCCCGCCCGCCCCCGTCACGCGGCTCCCTCCCCGCGTCACGCCCCAACCGCAACCATCACCCGCCCCCGCACCCCCGCCCACGCCCACGCCTGCCCCCACACCCTCCGCTCCTACACCATCGCTCACACCCGTCTCTGCATTAGAAGAGAGACGACGCGCCGCCTCCAATCACTCCCGTTTGCAAATGTTGCTATTCAGACAAAAGGAGATGTTGAAGAAAGACATCATCAAGAAGAGAGGTTTACTCGAGAAGGAGCTCGGAGTGGAAATACAGGTCTGTCATTGTTTACGCTAGATTTACCTATTGCCTCCCGGGAATGTGTTTGTGAATATTAATATTTTTGTAGAAGGAGCTGTCCGCAGAATTGGCGTTACGAACGAAAGCGGAGCGAAGTAAACAGGAAGAGGTTCGCGGTGGAAAAAAGCGAACAGCGTCTGGATGCACCCGCGATTCTACGCCCAAGTCGAACAAACGTAACGTCAAAAAAGAGAAGCTGCTGTGTATTTGCCGTACTCCTTACGACAATACTAAGTAAATTTCATCTTTAATATGTCGGTATCTTATATTCGGTATTGTGTGGATAGTAATTCAAATTAATAACTTTTTATAGATTTTATGTTGGTTGCGAGCGGTGCAGTAACTGGTTCCATGGAGATTGCGTTGGTGTCACCGAAGAGATGAGTAAGACCATGGAAGAATATGTATGTCCGGATTGTCGGAGAGCAGAGGAAACACAAGAACTTTATTGTCTATGCAGACAACCTTACGATAACTCCCAGTGAGTATCTATACTATTGGAGAGTGTACGTAAACAATATTTAAGTGATATTTTAAAAAATGTTAAAATAAATGTACATTTTAATTTTAGGTTTTATATTTGCTGTGATCGATGTCAGGACTGGTTTCATGGCAGATGTGTGGGTATTTTACAAACAGAGGCTGATAACATTGACGAATACATATGTCCGAATTGTCAAAAGAACAATTCTGTTAACTTTGCCAATATGAAGGAGCTCACCCCTAAAGACTTTGAGAATCTAAAGAGGCTTGTGAAACAGATACAATTACATAAAAATGCTTGGCCTTTCATGGAGCCTGTAGATCCTAGAGAAGCACCCACATACTACAAAGTTATAAAGGAACCCATGGGTAAGTAAATATATATTCAAGTGGAAAATGTCTCTCGTTTTCAACAAGTTATATTTTGGTATCCACTCTCACAAACCCCTTTCCAACAAATGATACACTCATTGACTAGGTATTTTAAATTTTTAACAATTTATAAGCTTCTGAGAAATAATATTTGTCTTAAGTGTAGTTTATATTTAAGTTACTTCTGTCGAGGCTTCTATGAAAGCTTTTGTTTAGATATAAATTACCCTATTTCAATAGATGTTACTAGAAATATGAGCCATATTTAAGATACTTACTAATTTTCACATTTTACAATTGGCTTTATTTACTTAATTATTTTTCATTGATATGTTTTGCCGTTAATATTCCTAGTTGTTTTAAAGACTTTTTACTTTAAATTAATAATTTGTAGGGCCTGTTTCCAAAAAGGGACTTATTGAAATTGATGGATATTATTGGAAAAGGATATTTTGAATTTTAACAATATACTTGTTATTGTTTGTGTTGAAAGGAAATCTTATATTATACTTTTAATTTTCTGTTTTGCAGATCTGCAAACAGTGGAAAGAAAAGTGAACGAAAAGACTTACAGTACTTTGAGTGAGTTTATTGGTGATATGACTAAAATATTTGACAATTGTCGGTACTTCAATCCTAAAGATTCCGAATTTTATCGCTGTGCGGACGGTTTGGAAGCATATTTTGCACAAAAAATCAAATTCTTTCGTGAAAAGTTGTTTGAATCTACTCAATGATAATAGTGCCAGTGTATAGTGTCTACAATTAGGAATTATGTGATTGAATCAAATTTGCAGAACTTTAAGAAAGAAATACTTACATAAAAGTAGCTATTCTTTTTGTTCTCTATGATCTGTAACAACTGTAAATTATAAACAAATGTGATGAAATTTACAAAGAATAATAATTTATATTAAAATAATAGTAAATGTATCTAGTGAGTATGTCAAGTCCTGTTCCACGATAAGTATTTATTGTATTTATTACATGCATTCTCACTTCAAGACTGGCTCACTCTTTAGATACTATTACAATACAACTCCAGAAATAATAATTATATATGTATACAGTTTGTGAAATATTATGTTAGCTAATGTAACTTAGCAAGTTTAGTTATCTTTGATAGTGCGTAGCATAAGATAATACCTATTTGTATGTAAGAAATAAATTTTTAATAATATAACATCTGAATGATGCCTTACAAGTTTCTATATTTTGTCCGTTAATCTTATCCATTAGACAGGGTTGCGACCACCTAACTCTCTAGCAATAGTATACGATATCTTTAGGAACGGATTCGATAACAGTGTTAGCAATTTAGCCATTTCGTTTGGAGGGCTGCTCTAGGGAAAACTGACGACCATTCCCATTCTTATTAAGGCAACCACGTCTACTGACAAAAGTGAACGACTAAGAAGAAGGCCCGGCTTTCAGGTTCTCACGCCTAGTGTTAAGATCTGCTTGACGGTTCTGCTTAAAGCTCATTACTTGGCCATAAACAGTTCTGTACTATTCTAGACAATGCGCTTCCAAATACTTAAATTGAGAGGGCTCTTATTTTACGGACTTTACAGTGTTTCTGAGCAACTTTGTACCTGTGGTGTTGCCCGCCCTGTTTTCGCTGCCTTCTTCGAATTCAGAAAAAAGATTTGCTTTACCATTTTCTTCTGCGTCGTACGCGATACAATTTGCACCACTGAAATTGCTGACGTATTAAGTATGTCCCTATGTCACCGACATTGGCTGGCCTTAAAACTTAAGTATGACTCACCCGATCGAACCATCTGATCTTCATGATGTAGGCATGTACGTTCTTTAGATGGAATCGATCCAGACTGCGTATGTGGTGACGGTAAAAACGCATTTCCTCGGAGCAATACATATTTTGGTGGTCAACTTTGGGTCGTGTGAGCTGAAGGTCTTTGAAGACAGCTGTCCAAATGTCGTTGGTGTAGCAACGATCCTACTGGTGATCTCGGCGTCAAGATTACGCTTAGGTGTAACTGTAAAATAGGCATGATAACAAATTGATTATATATTTTTTTACCTTGACGCAAATGAAATATGATATATCCTTAACCGCTTGACCGCGCTATTTCTAATATGAATACAGGTAAATATGTTGAGATTTCTCTAAGTCGGGCCTGATGAGGGCAATGGTTGGTTATGAATTTGAGTTACACCTCGGGACACCCGGAGTTAGTGGATTTTTTTGCATTTTTCACTTTAAGTACCCACACTTTTGTTTATTTTTATTGATTTTACTATTTCCTGGCGTGGATTACAATTAACTAATGCATATTTTAATATAATTTATGATATTTCATTTCGGTTTCATTAAAACACCAAATCGAGAACTTCGGATTATCCGGACTTTAGTCAGACGAAAATATAGAAAACCGAATTAAAAAAATCCTTATGTACAGTTTGTAATGCTGTACAGACGGTGTTAGTTGGGTATTGTAATTACTGGAGTAGTATTGTTTATATAGAGTTGTGGAGTGCAGAAAGATGAAATCTTGAGATAATTTAACACCATTTATTCACGTACACAGTAAAGTAAGTTAAAGTGGTTGTTACTGGACGTTAGTTATACACGGTTGCTAAATTCGCACTCATTTTATTAATATAATAATCAATAACGTAAAGTGAATGATGACCTCAATAATTATGTAAACAAGGCAAAATTGTACGGAACCGTACATATTCCCAACCCGAAAAGAAAAATATAAAAAACGAAAAAAATATCTGTAAAAACCACTTTTAAAGTAAAATACAATTATTAATGTAAATAAAAGTAAGTAAAGTAAGTACACTATACTATATATAAAAGTAATTAATGTAAAAATGAAGTTAATTTAAAAATATAAAAATTAATTTTCAAAATTAAATTGCACATCCGCTAACGAGTTCGATGCTCGACGGGTGTCGGGCCTCGCGTAAGTTCCGCGTCCGAACGCTCCCGACGATGAAGTATGTGGCAGTCTTACTTTATTTCAGCTTTATTGTTTATTTATTGTATGAGTAATATTGGCCTTGTTTTCGTGATTTTGCTGAACCGTCCGTTTGTTAGTTGTTAGTTTCGATTGGTAGTAATGACAGTTTTGTAATGGGCCGTTTTATAACGCCAACTTGGGTTTTTATAGTTGTTACTCGTACATAATTATCGCTACCTGGGTGAACTTCAGTCACCTTGCCCATGGCCCATTTCCCTGGGGGTAAATTGTTTTCTCTTATTAAAACAATGTCGCCTTCTTTTATGTTCTGGGTTGGTTTTCGCCATTTACTTCGAGCTTGCAAAGAAGTTAGATAATCGTGGGACCAAATTTTCCAAAATCGTTGGTACATGTGTTCAGTAAGTTGCCATCTTTTTCGTAGGTTGAAATGTCGGTCGTCTTCATAGTCAGATATTGGAAGCGTCATAGTAGCGCTGCCAGTAAGAAAGTGACCAGGAGTTAAGTAGTGATAGAACTCATCAGGGTCCTCAGTAAGAGGGCCAAGCGGCCTTGAGTTCATAACAGCTTCTATTTTCGTTAACAACGTCGAAAACTCCTCATATGTGAGCTTTTGGTCGCCTAGAATTCTACGTAGGTGATGTTTCATCGACCGCACAGCAGCTTCCCATAGGCCCCCGGCAGTCGGCCAGGCAGGAGCGTTGAAGTGCCATTCCACTTTCATTTTGCTGATTTCGTGAAAAAAATCCGTTGATAGCTCTGTTTTAAAAAGTTCATATTCGTTGTTGAGCATCCTGGAAGCTCCGATGAAGTTAGTTCCACAGTCGGAGTAAACATGTTGTGGAGTTCCTCGTCTCGCACACATTCTTTGAAAGGCAAGGATAAAAACTTCTGTGCTTAAGTCCGACACGAGCTCGATGTGTACTGCTTTAGTTGCCATACACACGAATATAGCAATATAGCCCTTTGATGTTTTGACACCTCTGCCTTTATTTAGTTTGACATCCACATGTCCAGTGAAATCAACTCCCGTATGAGTGAAGGGTCGCGATGGAGTGACTCTTTGTGGTGGAAGATCAGCCATGATTTGGTGGTTTTCCATTGGCTTGAAACGATGACAGCGGACGCATTTGCGTATTTCTGTTTTTACAGCTCGGTTTCCGCCGAGTATCCAAAATTGTTGACGAATATAGGCGAGAGTGAGTCGTGCGCCTCCGTGAAGTGTCATAATGTGAGCATGGTTTATAATCAGTACTGTTAATCTTCCATTTTTCGTAAGTATTGCAGGATTTTTCATGCCTACAGGAAAGTTGGTTTTGTTTAATCGACCACCCACACGCAGTATACCCTCTTTATCCACATAAGGGTTTAATTTGCAGATAGAGCTCTTGTTAGGTAAAGATTGTTTTTTCAATAGTGAATTGTAATCTGTTTCAAATTCATATCTCTGAACATTCTTTGTTATTATACACATAGCATTATTTAATTCATTTGTATTTAAATATAATCGAAGCGTGTGCAGACTGGTGTCATTTTTCTTCATTATTCTATTGTTACGAGCATTATTGCAGAATCGCAAAATCCAAGCGATAATGTGCGTCACCCGTGTTAATGAACTGTGTTCGAGCAATAAACTAATAATTATATTATTTTCTGTTTGCGCTAGGGTTGTCACTACTTGTTTTTCTTCAATTATTGTAGAAAATAAACACTTTGGTGATTTTTCCATATCAGTCATCTTGAAAGTTTTTAACATCTCAGGACCCGTCCACCATAACGGGTTGTTTAGTAATTTCTTTGGGTATAAACCTCTAGTTGCGTAGTCTGCGGGGTTGTTTTTCGATTCGATGTATGACCATCGCGCGGCTGGTATCACCTTCTTGATTTTCAGTACTCTGTTTTCCACATATCTCTCATACTTCGATGCTTCTCCTTGTAGCCATGCCAGTACTACTTTAGAGTCACACCAAGCCCAGATTGTAATGTTAAATCCCTTAAGTGCCTTAGTGACCTTGTCAATTAGTCGTGATAGCAATAATGCACCACAGAGTTCGAGTCTTGGCAGTGATAATTTTTGTGCGAGTGGGGCAACCCTAGTCTTCGCTGTAAGTAGAGTAATAAGTGACTGTTCGAGTTCGTTCGTTGTCCTAGTGTATATTACGCAAGCAAAGGCTTTTTCGCTGGCGTCACAAAATCCAAATAACTCGATATTTTTGTTATGGCTCCCGATCCATCTTTGAAGTTTTATGGTTTTTATTTCTGGTAGTTCATTTTTCAGTTTCATCCAATTTTTTTGTATATCTAAAGGTAGTGGCTCGTCCCATTCTATTTTTTCAGTCCATACGCGTTGAAAGATTAGTTTAGCTGATATAGTTATCGGAGACAGCCATCCCATTGGATCATAAAGTTGAGATATTTCAGAAAGTAAAATCCTTTTAGTTAAAAATTTCCTGCAATTTTCTTTCAGTTTCCAGTTAAATGTAAAAGTGTCTGAGCTCGAGTTCCAACCTAGTCCGAGGGTTTTCATGGAATCTTCTTGTTTAAAGTCAAAATTAGTTTTTGAAATTTGATCTTCGCTTAGTTGTTCTAGTAATTTTTTGTTATTGCTCGACCACTTCCGTAGGTTCATACCTCCATTACGCAATAAGTTTATAAGTTCGGTTTGGAGCTTTTTGGCGGTTTCTAATTCGTTATGGCCACTGATGACGTCATCGACATAACACTCGTTTTCTAGTATCGTTGCGGCGTCTGGATACTTATGGCTCTCATCTGTCGCGAGTTGTTTTAGTGTTCGCATTGCTAGCCATGGAGCGCATTTTGTACCGTATGTTACAGTACATAAGGCATATTCTTGTAACATCTCATCAGTGGAGTTTCGCCAAATAATTTTTTGGAGATGTTGTTGTTCCTTATTAATCCATATGCATCTGTACATCTTTTCGATGTCTGCTGTAAAAACGTATTTATAAGTTCTCCATTTAAGGATAAGATCTTGAATATCCTTTTGTAGGTTAGGTCCTTTTTCCATTAAACTATTCAAACTCTTTCCACTCGAATTTATCTGCGAAGCATTAAAAACGACTCGTAGTTTGGTAGTTTCTGAGCTCTCCCTTAATACTCCGTGATGCGGAAGGAAACATTCATTTTTGTTGCTATGTGACGTAATTGGAGACTTAGTTGGTTTCATATGTTGTAGTTGTAAATATTCGTTCATAAAATCTTTATACATAAGTGATAATTTTTCATTCTTTTTTAAACGTTTTTCTAGTTGAAGATATTGTGAAATTG